CAGTCCTCGCCGCGGATCTCGCGCAGGATGACCTCGCGGTAGAGCAGCGCGCTGCCGGGCCAGGTGGCTGTGACGCGGCCGTCAACGCGGTTTTTCTTGTACCAGCTCTTGCAGGCGCCCGTCCAGGTGAGGGTCTGCTGGATCTCGTCGCCGTAGGTGACGAACTCGTCGGTGGCGTCCTGCCGGGGTGCCGCCGAGTGGATGTCCTCACCGGCGATCTTGTGCAGCCACTTGACAATGTACTCGGCCGTCCAGGTCATGCTGGTGATGAGAGTGCCGTGGCCGACGGTGGCGTTGGGCCCCGTGAAGATGAAGTAGTTTGGGAAGTCCGGGCACGCCACGCTCAGGTAGCTCTCGGGCTCGTCTTTCCACTTCTCCGCCAGCGTCATCCCGTTGCGCCCCGTCACGGGGTAGTGCGGGATGTGCGAGACGTCGAACCCCGTAGCGCACACGATCACGTCCAGGTCGTAGTGCGTGCCGGATTCCGTCTCGATGCCCGTCTCGGTGATTCGGGCGATGGAGGATTTCTCCAGCGACACGGTTGGTAAGAGGAATGATTCTAGGTAGCCTTCGCCGGGGGTCAAGCGGCGGCAACCGAGCGCCCAGTTGGGGATGAGCTTCTCGCAGAGTTCTGGGTTGTTGTTCAATGCTGCTCGCATGCGCTCAGCTGTGACTTCGGTGGATTTGGCGTTTTGGACAGAGCCTTTGCGGAACTGTTCACCGTTACAAAAGGCAAATCAATATCCAGACAGACCCTGTGAAGAAGGGGATTGATTCGTTTTTTGAGATCAACTTACCAGCCTGAAGCCCTTGTTCATCCCATGCTGCAGCATCTTGCGATACGCCTTGTGTTTCTCAGGATTTCGGAACCGCCTCTTGTCGGCCTTGGTGTATCCAGGGTTAAACTTGCTCCCTACCTCTTCGCCGACTTCCGTCATATCAACGCCTTCGTCGCCATTCGTCATTTCCTGGTCCTCGGCGCCCTCGTCGTCGGGTTGCCCATCACCACCCACACCGAGCGCCTCGCCCAGACTCTGAGTGATCCAGGTGGCTCCTCTCTGAAAACTCACCACCTGAGTACCCGGCAATTTCGCCATTTGTGGCAAAATCTGGATGGCGGACGATCCGTTCCCGATGATCCCAATTCTTTTATGCGAGTAATCGAAGGAGTGATCCCAGGCTGCTGAATGCACTTTGTGGCCCTTGAACGTCTCAATGCCGGGTATATCTGGCCATTTCCATTGGCTGATGCGCGGAGACAGGAATGAGAGTGCATCAGCATTGATCGGTGTTAAATATCGAACAAGAAAGACTCTGGCTTGTATCTCTGTCTGCACGGAGTAACAGGAAAATTACACTCACCTGAGAAAGCCCTGAGCTGAGACGAGGACGTCGGCGAACTCGTCCCTCTCTTCCTGTCCGTCCTTCCGGACGCGGATCTTCCACTTCCCTTCCTCTTCGAGCCACTCGAGAGCAACGACGCGCGTATTGAACTGAATATCTCGATTGAGATTCCACTTCTTGACCGTCCGCTGGACATACTCGAGAATCTCCGGCCCATCGGCATAGAACTTTGACCAGTCGGGATTCGGATCAAAGGGGAAAGCCTAGGTCCAAGAAAGAAATCAATTACCTCGTCCGCCACATCAGACAAACCCCGCAAAAAGAGAAGAGGTAGAGGTAGATGGTAGACTGACATAGATGTGGGCCGGCACGTCGCACTGCACGCCCGGGTACGTGTTGGCCTTCCACGTGCCGCCGACATCGTCGTTGGCCTCGAAGATGACATGATCCACAAATTCCTGCAGCTCGGGCTGCTCATGCTGGATCTTGTGCGCGAAGATCAACCCCGAGAAGCCCGCGCCGATCGTGGCGACGCGCAATTTGCGCTTCTTGTACGCATACTCGTCCGACAGCGGGACCCATACTTCCTTCAGCCGTTCAGGGGAGACCATTGTTCGCGGACAGCGAGAATCTTTGTAATACCACGAAAGACCGCCAGGGGAAAGGGGAGGGGAGGAGGATGCTTAGGAAGCGAAGCAGTCAGTAGTCAGTGTGACCCTGGGACACAGGGAAGACAAGGCTCATATAAGAAACCACAGACGAGGCGATGACTCGACTTCGACCCGAACGTCAGCCTTCCCATCTCTAATATTAGTGTTATTATTCCGTGGCTTTGTGTTTCCTCTTCTCCGGCTACTTTGAATTGGAGAACTGCGTCTTACCTCGGCGAAGGCAATAAAATATACCGAACGTGTCGGCCATTTCCCCGCATCGATTCCTCTATCAAAACGATAAACTGCGGTTTGCTTGGCCGTAGATCCCTCCTTGAGTGGTCAGGCTGTTCCTCGTAAATCGTAAGCGACAAATAGGATGCAAGATGACACGAAACTCTCACAGAGAAACAAGGAACAGGGCGCAGGGAGCCTCGAAATATGACGCGACACCTCTTCCCATTTTATATATACTTGTACGGATTCATAATTCCGTTGGGATCGTAAAGATCCTTGATCTGCTTCATTAGCTTGATCATCGTCTCACTGCGGCTGTATCCGATGTATTTCTTTTTGGCGATGCCTAGGCCATGTTCCGCGCTGATGCTTCCGTTGCGTTTTTGGATCCATTCATACACCCACGGTTCTATCGCTTCTTCGACTTCTTTTGTATATTTGCGTACGGGGATATTCAAGTGCAGATTCGCGTCACCCATATGTCCATAGCCGACCACAGCAATCGCGGGGAAAGAGTCGTCATCACCTACCAAGCCTTTCGAAGTGAGTCTATCTCTCGTGTCTTCCACGAGTTGGTACAGTTCTTGAATCGGGATCGAAAGGTCGTATTTGTAAGTCCCGCCAAAGTGGCCAATGGCCTCGGTGATGCCCTCTCGCCATGCCCAGAGCGATTTGGCTTGTGTCTCGTCCTGGGCGAGGACACCGTCCGAGACAATCTCTTCGCTCATAACGTATTCCAAGAACTTTTCCAGCTTTTCACTGTCGTGTTCTGTATTGGAACCACTGGTTTCAATCAAGCAATAGAAGGGATGGTCACCTTCCAATGGTCTTTGTTTGCCGGTGACTTGGTGGACGAACCCTTGACTTCGAGCATCCATGAGTTCAAAGGCAGACAGAATTTCTCCAAGCTGGACCTTTGCTTCCTTGTAAGCCTTCTGGACATTCTCGAACGAAGAGAGTCCGAAATATGCCACGTTGACTGCTTTGCACCTCTGAGGGCACACCACCGACACGCCTGTGATGACTCCGATCGTCCCCTCTCCGCCAATGAAGAGTTGCTTCAAGTCGTAGCCCGTGTTGTTTTTCCGCAGAGTACCAAGATCGTCGACAATAGTGCCGTCCGGTAGTACTGCTTCGATTCCGAGAACATTGCCGTGTAATGAACCGTAACGTAGTAGTCTCAGCCCTCCGGCATTGGTCGCAACGTTTCCACCTATCTGGGCGGATCCTTTGGCACCAAGGTCAAGGGGAAAGAGATGGTTATGCTCGGCAAGGTAATTGTCGGCTACTTCGAGTATAACACCGGCATCGACCACCAGGATGCCGCTAATGTCGTCGAAACGGCGGATTTTGTTCATTCGGGAGACTGAGATGACAATTTCGTCAAAGACCGGCACACTGCCGCCAACCAGCCCCGAGTTTCCACCTTGGGGTACCACAGCCAGCTTATTGTCATTGCAATATTTGAGTACTTTGCTCACTTCTTCCGTGCTCTTGGGCCTTAAGACGAGCTTGGTATGACCTCTGTATTTCCTCATCCAATCGGTGTTGAACGCCTCCAGGTCATCTGAAGCATCGGTGGTCACTCCATCAATGACTGCAGCATCGTCGCCGAGGGCAGACTTGAAGAACTGGATATGATCGGGCGTGATTTCAGCGAACCGGGGGTCTCGTTTGAGAGTGGGATACATGTCGGTTGTGTATTTGACATTGCGATGGGGTTCGCTGGGGTCCTCTCGTCGTCGACTCGTTACGGAGAAGTTTCGCGCGGGCTCAAACAAGGGCCGCAGAGGTTGGCACTGTCTGGCTTGCGACCGAGGTGTTGAAGGTCTTTTGGTCTGGCGCAGGGCGCGCACCAGACCTCTTGATACTGAGCCCGACATGCCTGCCGGCTTTGGGGACTTTTGTTGACGGAGTGCAGGGCGTGTAGTCGAGGAAAAAGAGGAATTGGAGAAATGATATCAAGCGAGCAGGGAAATTCGTCTCTCGCCATCGCATTGATTGCCGGTCTTCGGCAACTGCTTTTCCGGGAATCTCCACTTAAGTCCCTTGGTCAGGTTTTGCACCAACCCTATTTCGCACCACTTTAACACATACTGAACTGGGGCGAGGCTCTTCGCCAGAGACATCAACCCGTACGGCGGTGGGCATAGTGGTGGGACGTCTATCGTACAGCAATAGTAGAACAACAAAGAGTAGCTTAATTAAATAGATTCCATATTGTGGAATATCGCTACCTAGGCTGCTTACCTAATTAGGGTTGACGCCTAAATCACGCGCTTGACCACGTGTCTAGGTGCTTAGTACGGTCCCGACAAAAAAGGCAGGACAAACCCAATTCTTGGCAATGGCGGTCAATGGAAGCCCGTACCCTTGATAAATGCGTCTACAGTGTCCCAAAGATCCGAATCGTCATATGTCACAGACGCGAGAAACCGTGTCTCCTTGAACGTGAAGCTTGCAAAAGCAATGAGAATCTGCAGGTCCCCAACCAAAGGCCGTCAGGGTCTTGTCTGACATACGAACCTCTTCTCCCCATACTGCGACATTCACGTAACTCCTCGAAAATGGAGACTGGCAAGGCCATGTTTCATCGCCGCTTTTGATCCCGCACAGTCGATGATAACATCGAAACCGTCCCCTGAGCTCCCTTCCAGGCATTTTGTTGGCACATTTTGAGTCAAAGGGTCAATCGCTAGAGCCCCAAGCCCCTCAAGTATTCACCGGCCTATCTGAGATGGCTCAGGGACATAGATTTTACTTACACTCATGGCATGGAAGCAGCAGACCACTCCGATTCCTGCGGGTCCTCCACCTAGTGCCGAGACCGAGGCATTTTTGTTGTTCTGGATACCAGACATTTTCACCCCACGCATGGCGACCGCCAACGGCTCAATCAAGGCTGCCATGTCCAGGGTCAGAGAGTCCGGCAAGACGTGTAGCGTGTTCGGGCTAACAGCAACCCGCTCTGAGAGCCTGCCTCCGTCGCTACTGGCACCAAGCCCTGCGAGTTTGGTGCAGCCGTTGGTGAACGAGTTCTTACCAGGCGTACACACGAATTAATAGAGACGAGGATCGACCGCAATATGTTGTCCATTCTTCAGTCCGGATCCGGGAGGAGCATAGGCAATTCCACCGGCGATCTCGTGTCCCATGACTGTGCCAGCCGGGAGCTCCAGGCCGGCAAGACCTCCTACGAGGGCGGTTCAACATGTGAAGGTGAAGATGGCCAGTCGGCACTCGCCAGCTTCGTAGAGGAGGGCGTCGCTACCTCAAATTCTACACCACTCTATATTGACGACAGCATTTTATCGGACAACGCTGGTTGATCTACCTCCTCGATCCGGACGTCGTGTGCCCCATACAGTCTTAACGCTTTCATCGTGCGTGTTTTGAGGTTTGAGTGCTTAAAAGAAGCGTTCAGGGGTTTGTTCACGAAGAATGTAAGCTTTAAACGTACCAAAGCGGGCGCGGCAGATCCGGACAGCTCCAGCAAGCCTATAGTCTCCATGAGTTCTCCTCGGCTTCTTAACACTCGGTCCAAAGTGAGTTTACGCCGTGAATAGCAGGAAGAATAGTTGTTAATGTCTAGGCAATTGAGGAGACTTCGGGCCATTCATTTCTATTTCGTACATTATTGATTGATGTCAGTGTCATCGAAGCTAGTATAACCTCAATTTTCCCCCCATGCTGCACGCCTTTCTCTAACACCCGATCAAATCCTGGGCTGCTCCCTCAAAATTCAGTCTAGAGTTTCATAAACTGCATCACCAACTTCCTCCATGGTAGCATGGCCTCCGAGATCTCGAGTGCGGACTTTCAGACCGCCAATGTCTTTCCCATCAAGCACTTTCTCCACAGCGTTCTCGATGGCTGTGGCCTCTGCTTGCATGCCTAAAGAGTAACGCAGCATCAACGCTGCAGGAAGAATTCTGGGCCATCGGGTTAACTACGTTCTTGCCAGCGATATCCGGTGCCAAATCGTGTGCGGGCTCGTATACGCTGTTACATGATCTTCCATCTGCCACGTCGCATAGACTGGCACTGGGAACTAGTCCAAGGGTGCCGATTATGCCACCGGCTTGGTCTGATAGCAGATCGCCAAACATATTATCAGCGATGATGACACCATTGAACATGCTCGGGTTGGTGATAAGGAGCATGCTCATGCTGTCGGCGAGCTGATGCCTTAGCTTGATGTTTGGAAACTCTTTCGTAAAGACATCAGTGGTGGCTTGCCTCCATGCCCTGCTCGATGCGAGAACGTTGGCCTTGTCAGTAGACCAACCGTGCCAGAGGTTCTGGGATTTGAACTGGGCTCATAACCGTCTTGAGCGAGGGTCATAGCCAAAGCTGCGGCAACACGAGCGCAGCGCTCGACTTCGTGACGGTTGTATTGCCATTAATCGCTCGCAAAATCGTCGGTCTCTATTTTATTCCCAGAGTCCAAAGTATGCACCGCTACAATTCTCGCGAAGGACGATAAAGTTGGTGTCCTGAGCAATTGATGGCTTGAGTGGTGATAGCGAAACCATTGATCTGGAGTAGAAGCGACATGGCCGGACATTCGCATAGGCTCCTAGGTGCAGGCGAAGTCGCAGGATAGCCAACTCTGGATTTGGCGGCTTCGTTCCCCTAGGATGCAAATCAAGCTCGTTAGCAACTGAAGATGATATCCTTGGATAACCACCGTCGATCACTTACCACTCAGAGCCCCGACACTTCCGAGAAAAACAGCATCTGATGCCTCTTTTGCAGTGTGCAGTACTTCGTCCGCAATTGGCATCCCCCACGTGTGCGCGCAACGAGACTGATCATATCATATGCAGGTCGTACTTGACCATGATTCCGACACAGACAGAGTTGTCCAGATACAGGCATTGCTGCTAATGACTCTATCTTGTCCAATGGCGTCGTCTAAAGAAGGCGTATGCAACTGGCTGCATCAAGCCCTGTCGCTGGCCGAATCGGTGGACCTGCATTGTGATCCAGCTACAATGAACATTATTCTACCCGAAGCCAAATTCCGCAAGAGACTCTGGTGGTGTATATACATGCGGGGACAACAACTGACACTGTCTCTTCACTTTCAGAATGACTTTTCCAACAGCAGAGCCAGCGTGCCCATGCCCGATATCGATGATTTTAAGGACACACTAATTCCTCATACGGTACAATGCGTTTCTGGATATGGAAACCTGTTGCGGAATGCCGATAAGCAGCGCGCCTTGGCCGCTATTTGCATTCGGATGTGTAAGGCGTCTATCCATCTGGAAAGAATATGTGGCATCCAGCAGCAAAACCTTCATGCCGGCTCTCAAGTCTCCATTGACTGGTGCAAAGAACGAGGCTCCGAATCGTTTGAATTGCAAGAGGAAAACATCAGATCCCTAGCGTCCAACGCGTCGTTAGACTTTCAAGATATGACGAGTTTTGGCGGAGACAATGTCGTCAACCTCCACTCATCTCTGCTGAAAATGTTCTGTCTGACCGTCTTGTGCATGCTATATACCTCGCAGACAGGATCCGGGGCCTTACAAAACCTGCTCTCAAGCCTGAACGCCACAAAATATGGCACCGTGACTTACAAGAACCTACCAAAGGCGGCCGTGGCTATTATCTCCATCGCTCAAAGACTGCATCTGAAACAGATATCGCACCATTTGTTACCACTGAGCGTTTCGCGCATTTTTGTCGCGGGATTCGTCCATACATTGGGCTTACTCGGCCCCAACGACAGCATTCGAACTTCAAGTCGCACTCAGATTGACCAGTGTTCGCTGATCCTGGAAAGCCTGCGCGGTCAATCTCCTGCCGCGGACGGCGCACTGGCCCAACTGAATACTGCGGTGCGTCGAATGAATTTGTTTGCCACACGTTCGTCGAACCATGGGTCACACCCCGGCGGGAGTGAATCACGCTCTAAAAATGGGACAACAGCTCCTCAAGCCCGTCAGTCTCTTGGAAACATGAATGTCAATCGTGAAGTTGGAGAAAATTGCGAAAATCTGGTTGATGTAATTGGAAGCACTACTCAGGCGCGGGACACGTCCACGAGCTAAAAGAAGCGGCATCTGTCGAAATAAATACAGCAATCGTCCTAGGTGAGCTAGAGATAGCGACAGAGGAAAAATTTAGCCAGGTGACCGTAAGACGACGTTTGTTGGGATTGCGGTGTAGCTCAAGATTGAGACAAGGCTATCATGCTTTGAAGCCCAACCAAGCAACGCCCCCTCGAAGCTCCTTTTGCAAGAATACGCGATTATTAATAGTGTGGTCGGCGTGAGTTGAGTTAGTCTCAAGAGGGTTGGGGCAACACAAGGGAACTGGAGAGTGAGGTGGGGCTCCGACCCTAGCTGTCGACTGGACATGTACTAAGGAGCTTTCAGGTCCTTCAAAGCGTATACCGAGACGAAAACTATACTTTTCAAGTATGGACTGGGTCACATTCTGTGCTTGTGTCTAGCATGTATGCTGGGGACTCCACCTACTTGCGACGGATTTCGACCAGGACATGCGATGGAAGCTCACCATTTGAGGCGCGGATAACATCCTCGAAGGCCGATTGAAACATAATGTACACCATTTCGTCATTATATGTCTTCCGAGTGAACTCGGCCTCTTCGTGGCCAACCTTGATGGTTTTGGTCCCTCGCCCTGTTGCCGCGGCGTCGGCCAGGAGCCGTGTCTGGATACAGCGGTCCATGGCTCCAAACAAAAACGCAGCTCCATCGACGGTCTTAGCAACCGCTAGATGACCACGGTTCTGTAGAATAAATACCTTCTTGTCGTCGAGTGCCGCAGCGATATGTTCACCCTCATCAGGGTTGAATGCGATGCCTCCGAACCCAGAGTAGATGCCGTGGTCGTTGTAGAATCGGCAGGCGTCCTGATTTAGAGGCTCGAGTTCGCATCCTAGAGCAGCGAAGGCTTTGCTCGCAACCGAGTGGCAATGAACGGCTGCGACGAAGTCGGGTCTGGCTTCGTGAATGGTAGAGTGGCATTCCAGCCGAAAAGACGACAAGAAGAGGGAGTGTAACACTTCTAAATTTCCCCAACAAGCTCGGAGGGCATAATTTGGCCATGTCACCAGGACTGTAGATTTCCCACAGAGGAAAGGGTACTGCAAGCAAGAATACTAAGTTGAATGTCAGGAATCTAGTAATCGTCTTCCACCGGCATTGCTCTTACTTCCTATGATCAAAGGGGCTAGCACTGTCGCGCTTGTCCAGGGATGAGGGTTGCCGCCGAAGGACAGACCGATCAGCATGATGGTCAGTCCCCCTCCAAAGAGCAGCAGACCAACATAGTCGAGCTCTTTGAGTTGTTGTTTGCGAGTTTTGCCATCAAGATGGAGGCCATGCCAGCCGGGAGGCCAGTAAAACACCAAGATGAGGCAAAGAGCGAGGCCATTGACCATGATACCGAAGTAAAAGGTATAGCGCCAGTTGAGAGTCTCCACGATCTTGAAGGCTGTATAAAGACCTTGGATCAGCCCTGAGATCTTAGCCGTAGCAGATTTGGGTGTACCTATAACCGCGCCAAAGGCCGAGCCCGGCAACGCCGCCAGGTTCATCAAGGCGACCGCGGCACCGCGATGTTTCCTTTGTACAACATCAAAGCCTGCTGCGTATGCGATTTGCTGGTGAGAGGCACCGACCCCCTAGAGCATGATTAGACATGCACTCTAGCAACATCGGTAGAAGCAGCTCACCATCAAAGTCGTTGCTGCGATAAGGGTGCCAACCGACTGTGCCCTACGCTGCGAGTCAGAATCGAGGCCACGGATGAGACGTCACCAGAGCTGACCTTGAAGCAACAATAGTCCCTGATCCTGTTAGCGAGCGTCTACCGTCCCGTACAGGTAGACATACCAACAAGTGCGACCAAATTCCCAAAGATGAGAAATTTTCGTCGGCCAAAGATGTCTGACAAACGTCCAGCAATCGCTTGCAGGACGGCATTTGCCAGTTGCCATGCAGTGGCGACCCAGCCGATGTTGTTTGATGGGCCAATGTCGGCATTGATTGTCAGCAGGACACTTGTCGGCACAATAAAAGCAAAAAGGCAAGCTTCGTAGGTGATGGAGAGAGCCTGAAACGCCTCTTGTGAGCTTCCACTATCCGATGAGGGCTAGATATTCTTACAATAAGAGCCATGATGGTGCGAGCTCGTGTCAGGGGAGCTTGCTCCTGTGGAGTCTCTGTGCCACTGTCGCCCTGGGTTTCCTTGAGCTCATAGTGATGGCTTCCTGAGTCCAACTTGTTTAGAGTGTCTTCAGTCATAACTGCGGCAGTGAGGTTGAATGTTGCAATGAGAAAGTTGAAGGAATGATCACGTTTTTTTTTTTTTTGAAAAGATGTGCAGACGAATATGGACTCGAAGACGACGGCCCTTCTTTCAAGCTCATGGCTTAGTCGTAGCTTAAAATGTTGGGGAATGCAGGGGGCACCACGGGGGGTTCCCGATGCATCTTTGCGAGGCCACGAATGTCTGGGGATTTCGGCAAGTCGCATCCTTTACGACTCGTGTCACTTGCGAGGTAGAGAGTTGGGCCCGAGCAAGATCGGATCGGTCCCTGAGGTTCCCGTTTTCGTTCCTCTACGAGATTTCGTTGTGCAGGTGGCTATTGGTGCCTGGACCGATACCGCTCTCAGTATACTCCGTTGCGTATTCGTGACATCAGTCAGCATTACCAACGAGGCCGTCTTCTTCTTCCTCGGCCTATCTTCTACGTTCCGTGGACAGGAGACTGTTCGCAAGACCTTTGATTGTAATGGTAACTGATAGTAACCCGGATACACTTAAATCCCAGTGGACTTCCGACTTCAATTGAAAAAGGCGACAGCCGAGCCGTTCAATAGCCAATCGTTCCATCGATGCGGATAGCCCTGCTTGACTCTGGAGAACAGAGCTTGCGGTTTCTCACTATCACCAATTGAATCGTTGTCTCTAATCTCTTCACCCCAACGAATGAAGTCGTGAATGTACTTCCGAGTAGCTTCCACCAGATGCCGTCCGTCGCTCTGACTAGCACGCTTGTGACCAGGAATCACCGTGTTCGGCTCAAGACTTTCAATAAGGTCGAGTGCATCAAGCCATCGTCGTCTCTTTTCGGTGGTGTTTGCCTCCCTCAAATGTTGATGACAATCGCCGTATACCACATCTCCACCGACAATTAAATGAATGGAGGGTACATGTAGGAACGACGATCTTTCGCAGTCAGAACTGACGTCGTAGGCTTTGAAAACTTCTCCGTCCATGACGAACTCATTCGAGGGTGGCAGGGCCGTTGGCGAAACCTTCTCAACGGACAGTTGTCCCCCCGGGAACCACTTGGTCCAGACACTGTAGACTTCCGGCGCGTTCATGTATTCAATGCCCGTCAGAACTGCAGCAGTGACTAGAATTTGCACGCCGGAGAACCGCTTTTGAATGACGGGGGCACCAAAATAGTGGTCGCCATGTGCGTGAGTTATGTAGATGTACCGTAGTCTCTTGCCAGGATATAACGACAAGACAGAGTCAACCCAGTCCGCTACCTTCTCCGCCTGGGCGGTCGTGATGGGGGGGTCAACCAGTACAGCAGAGGTCGGCCCATGGATCAAGGTGCTGGTGATAGGCTGCCACCATTGTTTGTCTGGGTCGTCGAGGCCCGTAGCAGTCTTGATAGGAGGGGACACATAAGTATCAACTTGGAGAGGTATTGGCTCACCCATCTTCCTGGCTCGGGTGTTGGTGGAGCTTGTGAGTTGGGGGCAGAATGAACATCTGTGAGTTACAATCCCAATAAGTCCATCTATTTATCTTTCTCCCAACATATCCTGCTGATGATCACATCTTGCTGGCTGGGCTCTAAATCAGCAGTGTCGCCACCAAGATCGCCAAAGTTACATTCTAAACCGCTAGGCACCCCCTGGCAGCGCACTCTTGCCTCTTTAACAAGATTTAAGTAAGCAATGGCCTCACTTCTCGGTGGGTGTCAGTCTTCTTCGACAAGCCGAACGTCCTCCGGGCTTTCCATTAATAACTACATAGTTTAAAGTGTGACAGAGAAACCCGTCCAGTGAATAGTGTCTCTCTTATCAGTTGAATAAGTTGTCACTGTAAGGATTCAAGTTTTCACCATAGCGACTATCGAGTCGTCACTTCATACAGGCCCTCGAATTGCAGCTTTCGGCTTGGGTTGGCTGGTTGGTTCACTCGACATCTGTTTTTGCTCACATCCACGTTCTGATTATTTACTCAGGTACTTGGGGAAGCTCCGCAGGACAAGTTCGTGCAGCAGCGGCATATGCAATTACGGTAGGCTATCACCACATAGTCTGTGCATATGTATATGGGAACAAAAAAGAAATTGGAAAGGGAGTCAAGGACGGACTTGCCGCTGCCGGCTTCCATCGATTTGAGTTGTTCATAATCACAAAGTTATGGAACACTTACCGCACGCACGTGGCTGAAGCACGGGAAAAAAGCCTGACACTGCTTGATCTGGATTATGTTGATTTTTATCTCATGCACTGGCCGGCTGCCATGAATCCTTACGAGGATCACGGTACATTGCTCACTCTTCTCAATGGGCGACGCGATTCTGTCCAAAGAAGAGTAAGTAGGTAGGTAAATACCTTGGCTGGCCTATACCCTTCGTAGTTAGGCTGTTGCTAAGTGTGGGCGGGTCTAAACAGGGTTAGGTCAGGAAGTGGCACTGCCTGCCATCCGTTTCTGAATAAACTAGCAAGCCGAGGGAACCAACAAGTGGCACACTCAATAGTGTGCATATCCTGTTCATGCCGCATGTCCTTTCCTCCGGGTCACGTTAATACTGCATGCCGCTTTTATCGACGATGAGGTTGGATGTACGCCTACAACTAATCAAACGTCTTGACGTTCTTGGCAGACACGCCACCGCGCACGATACGAAAACACCAAGCAATAGCTAAAGTCGTAAAATTCGAGTCCTGATGATTACTGATGGATACTACGAAAAGCAGCCGAGCTGCCTCGGTGAATTTGATCCCGAAGTCTGTCCCTGGCTAATCTCATCGGAACTTGTCCCCGATAATTGTCGAAAGGTCAAATTTCTGGTATAATATAGCCTGGGTTTCTGATTCACCTGTAGCATATTTCCAGCCTCACAGGGTGAGAGTTTGGAGAACGACACCATGCCTGGGCAGCACAAATTACCGTCCTCATTCACACTCCTTGACGCTTTTGCTTCAGATGAGGTTGACGGGTACGAGGTTTCCAGGAACCTCCCGCGACGGTCTGGGAACTCCGCCCCAATAGCCTACGGCGGCTTCGCACTCTCCCTGGCTGTACACTCGGCTTACCGAAAGGTTCCCAATGGATATCATCTGCACTCAGCATCCGGATGCTTTCTACGAGCCGCCTCCACGCAAGAGAAATTGCGATGCAAGGTCAACGAACTACGCCGATCCAACAGCTTTATCACCCACCGCGTTACAGTCGACCAGCTTAAAAATGGAAATTATCATGCTTGCATGGAAATTCTGATGGACTTCCACAAGATGGAGCCATCTCTATTAGATTACTCGGCCCCCCCGTCACGAACGTACAGAAACTGGCGTGACTGCCCTACCTGGGATGAAATCCGAGCCGAGTGGGTAGAAGACGGCAGGACGACGTCGACACAGTCACACATGTTTGATACCTTGTTCGGCCTTTCCAAAGGCCTGTATGAATGTCGACCATGCCCTGAGGGAATTGCATCCCAGAATCTGAACGGCATGGCCAAGGATACCCACACCAGTCAAGACGGGCTTCATCCTACCGACAAGTCATCGGCTGACTGGATCCGAGTCCACAGCCAGCTGCAATCCGAAGCTGAACACATGGCAAGCCTGACCTTCATTATGGACGCAGCACTTTCTTTCCTGCCTCTGGTGCATAACCACTTATTCTTTGAAGATGTAGCTGCATGCGCCAGTCTCGAGTTTGCGTTGAGATTCTTTTCTCCTCACATCAATATTAACCGTTGGCATCTTCGGGAAGCCATCAGCCACCGCGCTGGAGCTGGCCGGACCTACAGTGAAAGTCGGGTGTGGGATGAGGAGGGAAACTTGGTGGTTTCCATGTCACAGCAATCGATCTGCCGCGTGAAAACCAGTACTTCGAGACTTTGACAAGTTCCCTAGCCTGAAATCCCTTGCCGTGAGCCTGACAGACAGCATCTGTCATTGTGGATAGCAATAGCACTACCTTCTGGCACCACTATGCGCCGGAGGCGCTGTGTACTCCTTTTGGGAGACGATTTAGAGATTCGCCGCCTCTTCCGCCGCTTGTCATCAGAACCTGGATTCGAGCTGTCTGTACACGGAATGCGTCCAAAAGACTTCACCGCTTCGCTACTCGAAGAGCTTGGTATCGATGGAAAGATTGGCCGTGCGGTGCAGAGGCATCTGACAGTCCTATTCAGGGCGCCTGCACCTGGTTTTAACCCGGGTAGCAGGCGCTTTCAACGTGGCTGCTATTTACCTCGGCAATCTGAGCTTTACCCATATTGATGTGAGAATACTGCTATTTAGAAGCTTAATACACTTCAACTTTCAAGAGACAGTCAAAACCTGTTTACGCCACGCCATTTGATCAAGAAACAGCCCAAGCAACCTGATTCGAGTTTATACACATCATCAATAACGCGTTTAAAAAGGAAATGGATCGTAGGCTTCGAATTAGAAAGAAGTCGGTATTTCCTGATTTGAGTACAAACTAGTTACTGTGAGTTGGGTCTGGTGGAGAGATATTCCTTTAGAAAACTCTCCAACTTTTCATTTGGAATCTCCAATCTGTCATTCCACAGCCCCCGTGTCTTCGAGTAGTTGGCGAGGTTCAGTTCTGCACCTTTTGCATAAAAGGCCGAAGCAATTTGAGCCAGAACGCCAAGTCGTTGTCCTTCTTGGATTTGGTTGAAACCGCTCTGCCATAGCTGTTCGGATGAATCGTGTGTAACGGCGAATTGATCACCAGTAATCTTTTCGAAAATCTCCAACAGTTGATTTTGTGTAATTGTGAAGCTGTTGATATAGACGTAGTTATTTTTGGTAATGTCAGGATGTTTTAAGATCGCAGTGACCCCCCGGCCGACTTGGTCCAAGGTTGTCGCCTCATACGGAATTTCCCCCCCGTCGTAGATCGTGACTTTACGATCAGGCACATTCCAACCGCCGAAGCCTGGAATGTTTAGACCCCAGTCAAAGAGCGCACCGATTATGACTGCCGTCCAAGAAATCTTGTCCTGCTTGGACCGAAGGTAGTCGACTGCAGCAACTTTGGCTTTGAGGAACGGGACCACCTCTGTCGCCGCAGGGTTCGCCGTGTCGATGCCGTACTCAGATGGGATGAAGACCCGGACCCCAGCAGCAATTGCAGCGTCGACGATGGCAGACTGCTCAGCTAAACCACCGCCAGAGAGTGTGCTGACTATGGCTTCTTGTCCTTGGAAAGCATGAATCAAGGACTGTTGAGAGAAGTCCGACCTCAAATGCTGGACGTCCGCCGGAAGCCTAGCGCTCGAAGCTTCACGGGTAAGTCCGGTGACTTCAAATCTTCCATTCTCAGCAAGCAAGGCTTTGATGATACTTTTCCCAACATTACCTCCAGCTCCAAGAACAACAACCTTTTTAATTGTGGACATGGTGTTTTGGGGCTGGTAAGAATCGTGTTATCAAATAAGTTGTCGAATCAAGACCAAAATGTGAGTTATATATTGAAGAGATTGAGATCCTTTTTGTTCACGGAAGATTGACTTCTAGACAACAAGCATAGACATGTGGCCTTGCAGCCGCATTATGAATCCTACGTAAAGCGGCGAGATCGATGTTATCATACCAAGAATAAACAGTGGGTCTTTCGTCCACTGATTGGTCACAGTCCGACACCACTTCGACTGATCACAATGCTTTGCGTTCACCCTTTGGTAGATTTGATACCAATGTGCAAGGGTTGGTCAAACGAGAGGGCCGCAGCATCTGACCACGTCAATGCTTGCCGAGGCACCTCCACTGCCTCGGATGCGAGATGCCAGGTTGGGTGGTATCTTTGGATCGTCAAAGACTGGCTCAGAATAACGGACGCAAGCCAGGAACCTAGCTTCAGAAACCTACTTTGTCGACAATTTCCAGCATCAGCTTGACAACATCGAAACTCCACGGCCGAGAGCCGGGGAAGTGCTTGTAAAATTGACACATTCGGGCGTCTGTCAATCTGATTTGGCTGTTATGTGGTAGGTATTCTCCTGACCTTCTAGTGGACTCGGGCTTCAATTACGGTGTCAAGCAATTCTTGGAAGTGGTTGCTAGCTCCTACCTGAGAAGGTCAAGTCGGTGGCCACGAAGGAATGGGAGTTGTGGCTGCCATAGGTCCTGATGTGACAACATCTAGCGTTAAAATTGGGGACCAGGTCGGCGTAAAATGGATCGCATCTGCATGTGGGAATTGTGTGTCTGAGTGGCGCTGATCCCAATTGTTCTCTGAGACAAATTAGCGGCTACTGTGCTCCAGGTACATTTCAATAGTACCTTGTAAGCTGGGCTCACAATGTCACCCGTATTCCAGAAGATCTCCCCAATGAGACAGCAGCTCCAATGCTCTATGGACGCGTCACTATATACAGGGCGCTTCTCGAATCTAACGCACGACCAGGTAGCTAGGTCGTTATAACAGGAGTAGGTAGCGGGTTAGGCCATTTAGCTCTTCAAATTAGTGCCAAGAGTATGGGCTGTCGAATGATTGGAATCGATTCGGGAGAGAAGGAGGCGTTGGCGAGGGAATGGGGTGCTGAGGCATTCATCTCTCTGGAGAAATATTCGGAAAATTATGAAAGCTATGAACATATCTTGGATCATGTGAAGGCTCTTATGCAAGGAGAAGGCGTTGCAGCAGCGATTGTCTGCGCTGCGAGCAACTCGTCATATGCTCAAGGGCGGCAAATGTTGAAATTTTGGGTAACACTTGTTTGCGTCGGCATACCCGAGGGAGACCTTCTCCCTATTCGACAGCAGTACCTGGGAAATTACTGGCTCGAGAGCTGCGAGTTGTGGGTTCCGCAGTCGGCACCAGAAAGAACACCATCGAAATTCTCTGGCTAGCAGCTCGATATATTGCACCTCTAAACTAAAACAGAACTGACTCTTTCGGCAGTGGAGTGGTGAAGCCCCGTTCTACTATGAAGCGTATGGAAAATCTCGCGGAGGTATTCCAAAAAATGGCGAAGGAAAAGTTGCAAGGCAGGGTTGTCCTGGAATTGGGCGACGTGAGCGACAAATCCAAGCACAACCTATCGAGTCACGAGCGTAAATCCTGAGCCCATGGGTGACACGCAATGCACTTCTTTCAAGCTGCACCCAAATCCCCGTTATCTGGACCAATAGGGTCACTACAGATCACTATGGCCTGTCGGAACGGAATATATCAAACGAAGTTGAACTTGGAACGCCGCAATGTCTTCCGCCGGCGTCCATCGCTTGGTTGGCGCTAGTCGGAATCGCCCAGTCTGGATTCGATTGTAGAAGCGGACGATTGGGGATTGCAGCCTGGTTGAGATACAAAATTCGGGTGTATACCCGGTAGGTCTGCGCATATCTGAAAGTCTCGTGGGAATTGCAAACGGATATTAACCGGAGCGAACACGTCTTCCGGTGGATTCTGCTATATCTTCTGATCCCTGAGCAATTGAGATAGTCGGGTGGTTCTGTCCTTGTGTGATTAGTCGGACATGTCACTTCACTCTGCCTCGGTCCACTTTCTTTTTGAGCATCGTCTTTGTGATTAAATAGACCTTTCATTTACTTTCAAACAGTTCCAGATTGCTTCGAACCTTTCTCTTTTGAGCTGGAGGAATATGTCTCTGCACTACCGCGTCAATCAAATGGATGACCGCATCCCTGCGTCCGGACGAATCCCCGTCATCGCTCGACCGTTCGTGAGCCAGCGCGCAAGGGAGACCCTCGATCTCGTACGACTATCTCTCCTATTCGATGTTTTTACTGATTTTCTCAGGTTGAACGTTTTGTTGAGGAAGAATGTATTCCCGCGGATCCTGTCTTCGAGCAGCAACTCGGCACTGGAACGGTTGCACGCTTCGACTCTCACCCTAGAATCATCGAAGACCTCAAGACCAGAGCCAAAAGCCTGGGACTTTGGAACCTGTTCCTACCAAAGAATCATTTTCAGGAGAGTCCAGGCTTTAGCAACCTCGAATATGGCTTGATGGCAGAATATCTTGGCAAGTCTGTGATCGCCAGCGAGGCCACGAATTGTTCAGCTCCGGACACTGGCAATATAGAGCTCCTGGCAAAATATGGGAACGAAGCTCAGAAGGACAAGTGGCTAGCTCCTCTCTTGAAAGGAGAGATACGATCGGCTTTCTTGATGACCGAGCCCCAGGTGGCCTCGAGCGACGCTACGAATATCGAGCTCGCTGCGCGTCTAGACGGAGACTACTATATTCTTAACGGACAGGTACTTTTTCACTCTAAAAAAGGACAACGACGTTGCTAATATACACAGAAATGGTGGTCAAGTGGTGCTGGTGACAGAAGATGCAAAATTTATATCGTTATGGCGAAAACCGACCCAGAAAACCCTGACAAATACAAACGACAATCAGTTATTCTCGTGCCAGCAGACACCTTAGGTATCACGGTCCACCGTATGCTGTCCGTCATCGGTTTCGACGCGGCTCCACACGGTCACGGTCATATATCTTTCAACGACGTTCGTGTTCACAAAGACAATATGGTTCTTGGCAGAGGAAGAGGTTTCGAGGTCGTTCAAGGTCGCCTCGGTCCTGGTCGTATTCACCACGCCATGAGATCGATTGGTGCTGTAAGTGCTACACTAAGGTGTTTGTTCTACGATTTAACTTATAACAATTAGGCTGAGAGAGCTCTCGAATACTTCTTAGCACGTATTAACGACACTACTAAGACCCCTTTTGGCAAACAACTCCACAAGCAGGGTATGATACTCGAACGTGTTGCACGTTCACGTATCGAAATCGACTCTGCTCGCCTTGCAGTCCTGAACGCTGCTATAAAAATTGACGAGGAGAATGCGAAGAACGCACTGCATGAGATTGCCAAGATAAAGGTTCAAGTACCGTCAATGTACCTTGACATTGTGGACCGCGCGATACAAGCATACGGCGGGGCGGGTGTATCACAAGACACTCCTCTTGCGGCGATGTTGGCTAACGCCCGCACAATGAGAATTGTGGACGGTCCTGACGAGGTACACATTATTCAGCTTGGTCGCAATGAGAGTAAGCGCGGCCCTGCGTTGCTGAGGAGAATTGAGGGCCAGAAGCAGAAGACGCGGGACCTCTTGGAAAAGTACAGACTTGAGGAGAGAGACGTACTGCAGCTAAACAGAACGAGCGGACGGAAACTTAAGTTGTAGGCTACCTGTTCGGAGGACTCAGAGGATTTTATCTACGACTGAAAGAAATAAAGACGTAAGAATTTCCAGAAAGAATGAGCCGGTAACACGAATCAGAACGTAATCATTCCCATTCATCACAAGGCTAACCTCATTCACGATCCGACTTTTTCGTTTTCGAGTATACGTTCGGAATATGACCTACTGGTAGCTACGATAATCGTCCATCTCAGTTTAGGTTACCCCAGAACCTTTCAAAAGCACGGGTTGGCCTGCTTGTCGTCGCTCCTCAGTCGTTACAAAAGTCCTGCACTCGTGGCTGCCGGGATATATGCCAATGTGGGAAATCTCCGCGCCAGTGAGATCCAATCACCCGTCCTTCGAGGAACCGATATATTACAGCCTATGGCAATAATCCATAACATTATTGGTGATACTTAAGGTTCATATAGAGATTGGATCGTTCTGTCTTGAGTGGCATCTGGTTCTGGAGTTTCCTTAGGCTGCTATTGACTCTGAGTCGTCGATAACATTGTATTGATTAGACCCGTACTCCTTCAACGACTGATGTATCGAGGAGCCCATGACTTTGCACGTGCTTAAGCTCATCCGGAACATCAAGTCCTTTCGTAGCAGAGTGCCTGGCAATAATCCAGAAGACAGTCCGTGTTTCTGGCGGTTATTAGTTCTGCAAAGCTGAAAAAAATTTGTAGAAGGCGAAGGCGATGACGATGGTGACGGATATTGTCACGCCTAGACTGCGAGGTTGGAAATTAGAGTCACCATGAGACATCCCATGCAATCTGCAAAGTTGTGTCTCTGACTGGTGGTTGATCGATTGACTAGAATGTCATTATCAGCGAAAGAAGACTAAGGACGATAACCCATTCGGTATGGCCGTGTTAGCAATATGGATAGGCAGAGGGCAGTGATAGGTAACAGGTAGGTATAGGTATTCCTGGATAGTATATCTTAACTAAGACTCGAAGCATGAGGGAAGGGAAGCTTCCCTCAGGCGGTGAGCATGCGGTGCTTAAATAATAAGGGGTTGTCACGTGCGTGGTGTACTTGGTGGTTCGTGACAGACCGTGATGCTTGAACAGCTGAGACTTCCCCCAAGTGTGCTTTCCAATCATTTTGTATCTTGCAGACAGCTCTCTCTGCATGTCCTCGACTGTTCCTGGGCAGATGACGAAACGGAACAGTTGGCCTCAACGACGGACTTGTAAACACCGGAATTGCAAAGTGCTCCTCTGCAGATGGCGCAGCACAGGAAGTATGATCTGTTTCTCGAGCCTCGCCGCACCGTCTACCAAGTGTCCCTCCACCAAGACATGGGACACAGTAGGAGGTGAAAAGGAAGGTCAAACGAAGGACCACTCGACGTGCGACAGGAAAATGTTGCTAAATAAAGCGGCGCTGAACGCTAGACCAAATGAGGGAACAGCACTAGTGAAAGATATTAATACTTTGCGGGGAAACGGTCCACCTACTTACCTTACCATTGCAATTCAGGGGGACAAACCTCCGAGGGTCATCACTTCCACTAACCTGCGATATCGCCTTCATCATCGCCGTCACCGTCGTTGTCCGATCGCGATAATTCCCGGAACGGCTTTAATCTGATCTGCATCGAGGTCCGACATATCTCATCTCCTAGGAGCGTTTGTGCGTTAGCTGTCGAAAGACCGTCTCACCTGCACCTGAGAGCGGGTTCCACGTACACATAACTGGACAGTTACAAGGCCCCGAAACGAGCCACCACACCTAACTCTCGTCGGCGCACACGAGTCATGGAGTCAATCACCTCGACCGTCGCAACGCAGTACCACAAATTCATCGACGCGGTCAATGCCCGACCACGCCAGACTGCGGCAACGACGACCGCGGTCGCGCTGACGCTGTCCCTCGCGTGGGTGCTGAACGATTTCCACGCGTGGAAGTCCTTCGGCACGGGAGGCACCCCGCCCACCTGGGCCGGGTACTGGCGCATGACGAAGCTCCGTCTGAACCGCCTGCTGCTGTTCGGCAAGGACGACCTTTCCGACCCGTCGCCTCTCTCGTCCGCGGGGCCCAGGTATCTCGACCCAGCGACCATCCCGGCGCGGGAGGGCGCCAGACCGTCAATCATGGCCCGCACCATGCCGCAGCGCCAGATCCCATACAAGACCGGCACGGCGGACCCGGGTGTCGAAGAACGGGTGTCGTCCATGATGGCCTCGTTGGCCGCCAAAAACCCTTCCGTCCTGGACCTCCGCCCTAGCAAGACCGAAGGTGGCAGCACCGACGCCATCTACGCGAAACCCACCCTCGAAACCCTTAACGCCAAGGCCAAGGACAACAAGATCCTAGGCACGGAGATCGCCCACGCGCATCCCTCCGAAGGGAGCCTGCACGTCTGGCTGTCCGAGGCGGATGCCAAGACCGTCGTCGAGAAGGGCTGGGGATTGAGGTTCCCGCTCAAGTTTGTTGATAAAGGGTGGGCTATGGTATATGCTCCGCGCACCATGGCCGAGGTGGACGTTGTGGAGCGCATCGTGCGGGCGGGGATTGCGTGGGTCGCTGGCGTTGAGGTCTAAGAGACTTGAGAATTCGAGGAGAGCTGCTTCGGTTACAGGGACTGTGCTTTCCAATCATTGTTAATATTTCACACTCTCCTATCCCACGTTCTGGATGAGTGAATGGGGCTCTTGGTATCTGCTGGGAAGGGGCAAGGAAGAACGGCCTCGAAAAGTTACGCATGCAGGGAGAATTAGGTCCTGCTGATCAATTGCTATTAATGGTATTAATCCGTCCATCCTCATTCCTCGTCGCTTGCTTAACCAGCACTACAAAGATTCGCATTTTCCTTCGGCAACATGACATGCTGGAAATAAAAAAAAGAAGGAGAGGGGAACGTTTCATCGCGGTGTTGCCTCATTGACCCCGTATTCCGTCCCGGCTCACAGACGTCTGTCATCAATACGTCCCTCCAGTCAGTGGCATAAAGACCGCAAGAGAGCACTTTTCATTATCGTGATCCTTCCTCGCCCTCAGGGCCACTTGCAATTTTCTCATCACGCCCCTTTCAGTCCAGCCTCATGAGAGCGTGGACGTCTTACTCAACTCGTTCCGGTACAGCGGCTGGCTCTCGACCGTCCTGACCCACAGCTTCCATGGCTTGTCCTGAAACGCTTCGTTCATGGCGGCGCATTCCTGGCCCTGCTCATCCGTGAGCGCCTGGAACCCGACTCCCATGCCCTCGTCGTGGAGCGCTTCGCGGCCTGGCACGTTGTTGGCGATGGCCATGGCTTTGGTCTGCGCCTCGGCGTTGATGCGCGTGTAGATGGCCCGGTAGACGGCGGTGACGATGTTGTCGGCCACGCAAGTGAAGCCGTGGCGGCGCATCAGGACCACAGTCTCCTCGGGCGCCTGTTGGGCGGGGTCGGACACGAACTTGTCGGCCAACGCAGCACCGAAGCGCGAGTTGTTCACCAGCATGTCCCGCTGCTCCCCGTCCCGGTAGAGCGGGTCGATGTCGAAAACCCGGACGCCCTTGCTGCCCAAGAAGCCCGCCATGTGGTAGACGGCCTTGAGCTTGACGCCCATGCTCACGACGTAGGGCAGAACTTCCTCGGCGTGCGAGTGGATGACGCAGTTGACGCCGGCATATCGCTTGTAGATCTCGCCGTGGATGAAGCGCTCCGAGTATCCCTTCTTCGCGTTAGGGTCGACCGTGCTGGAGTCGGCGACGTGGTAGTAGATCAAGTCCGAGGGCGAGGCCACCAGTGCCGGTGCCATGTAGCCACACATGATGTACTGCGAGGGTTCATGTGGATGGCGGATCGAGATATGTCCGTACGCGTCGACCACGCCATGGTGGTCTAGAATGTGGTTCGCCCAGATCAGGTCGCGAAGGGCATCAGTCAGTGTGCTGTCGGTGGTGACTGTCGAGGCCATGACAGTAGCGGTAGGGATGGATAGTCAATCTAGGTGAAAGATAGCCTTGCCGGTCAAGCCGATGTCCTTGATGCTTTCATCAGCTCTCAATTGAGACTGATGCGGAGTTGAGCAGTAGTTCTGTTTGACGTTCCGGCATAGAATAGTCCGACCCCACACGGCCTCACGCAGCAGACACTGTACTCGGTAGAGAGTCAAGTATTAAGCAAGTAGCGTATTGGGTGGTGGAGTACTTGAGTAGGTATTGAAACGGCGTCCAAAAATAACACAAAAGGTGGGGAGGCGGGGACGAAAGGAGGGGCTCAAACTGCGCGGCTCCGAGTCGAGGAGGAGTGAAGCAATCGTATTCCTCATCACTAGCCAGTGCAAAGATACCACTAGAAATACCGGTCCACCACGCCGCTGACATCTGGGAGCTCCTACTCAAAGCACCCCGCCAATCCAAAGCTCGCCCTCGAGTTTGCGCCCGGTATACCACTACCTGCGCGCCCATATCAATCCAGCTCGGTCCGTTTCGCAAAGAAGAAATTCAGTTCGGTTGGTGTGGCTCGAAACCCTGTGACATGCTCGATCGTGTTGACAAACGCTGCTGTGGCCTCCTCTGCACTCTCCCACCCCGAAAAGTTGACCCTGACATCTCTCTCTTTATTGTCCTTGGGGATATTCCACGCCGAAATGGCTCCATATCGCGCCCCGCCCAAACTAGAGGTCTGCGACGCGAATTCCTGGTCAAACTGCGTTTTAACCACCCCATGTTTAGCGAATCTTTCCCTGATGATGGCCAGCACGGGGGCATCGAGTGGAATCCGTGATTGGTCCACGTCAATGTAGTGCATCCAGTTAATGCTCATTTGGTCTTTGATCAGTTCGAGGATTTCGGCCTGTTGGGGGGATCCATCGAAGCCGTGCTGATGCTGGTCTTTGTTTTTCCAGGCCCCAACTACAAACAGCACGGAAGGGTCGTCGACTTGGGTGTAGAAAAGAGTTTGTAGTTTGCTGTAGTCTTCAATCACTCTTTTGACCTCCTTCAGGTTCTTCTTAAGTTCAGGGTCTGTCGCTTGAAGGCCTTTTTTTAGAGTGATGTGCGCTAGTTCGATGATCGCCATCTTTGAAGGCCTAGTAGAGGAAATGGGAGGCGTCAGAAAATATCTGATGAGGGGTCAGTTGTGTCTGTAGGAATGATGACCAGCACATAACACTTTCAGGCGGCAGATCTACCAACCGCACCATGGAACGGCTGAGGCTGAAGCTTGAGAGCAGCTTGACCTGTTGCGGTAGTTTGGGGCCTCCAGGGTCAATTTTGAGTTCGATGGGTCGCGTGGATTCTGGCCAGCGTCGCTTTTACGGAGACCGCTGCGGCTGACATTATCCACCGAGATAGCTCTTTGCTAGGATATTTTCGAGGCAGAGATGAAGGTGAATTGAGTGACGTTTAAAAACAATACTGTGCGCCCCAAATCCCATTGGAAGCAGAAGAGAAGGTCGATTCAGCGACAAGCAACCAGTCAGAACTGCGCACCCATTCCGCAGTTGGCCTCTCTTTACCTCCCCGCGGACTCCCCCTCCTTACCGAGTAACTATCAAACTCTCGCACTTGCTCTACGCCAGCCAAAATGAGTCCACCACTGAAAGTCATCATAGTGGGTGCCGGTACGTTTTATGCATCTTCTTGCAAGGGAATATCTGTAAGCGCGAGCCTCTAACGAAAAGGAGAAATACAGGCCTGTCAGGCTTGGCCCTTGCTCAAGGCCTTGAAAAGGTACGTGCGCGATGCAATGGAGTAAATTGCCTTTATTGGGACAAGACTGAGTCGGGAATGGCAGAACGGGATCGACTACGTTGTTGTGGACAAGGAGAGCGAACCACGCGATCGAAACTGGGGGGTGACCATCGCGTGGAGCCATCCTCTACTCGCACAGCTTCTCCCAGACGAACTCTACAATCGTCTATCGGAATGCCAGCCAGATCCCGGTCTCGACACTAAAGCTGCCGGCTTTGAAAGTGTCATCATACGGGATGGACAGACGGGCGCTACCATAGTGCAACCTCCATTCCCGGGGGTACGAAGGTTGAACATCCAAAAGACAAGGACTATTTGGTCAAAAGGGGTGAATGTCAAGGTATACCGTTGACCGCATCCGTCTCGGTAGCCCACGTCAGCGTACTCACCTGTTTCCTAGTTCGGTAAAACCCTCACAGACATCGAGCTAAGCGACAACGGAGTCATCGCCCATTTCCACGACGGGACCTCAGAATCGGGCTCTGTCCTGGTCGGCTGTGATGGGGGCGGCTCATGGGTTCGACGCTGGATGCTGGGCGACAAGGGGACCTCGGTGGTCTTGCCCTACACGTTCCTCAACTTCCCGTTTCGCTACACGGCGGAACAGGCCGTCAAGATGGACAAAATGATGCACCCCATCGTGGATGTCGCCGTGCATCCAAAGTCCATGTACATTGGCATCTTTGTGCTCGACAAGCCGGACTTAGAGAGGCCCGAGACCTGGGTCTTCTACATCCTCGCGACGTGGGCCAAGGAGAACAAGAGCGCGCCGGACGCATCCACCGACATAAACATGGTCGACGAGCTAAAGAAGCGTATGGACGACTGGGCCGACCCGTTCAAGTCGGCTGTGGAATGGATCCCCAATGGTACTCAGGCTAAGGTGGTCCCCTTGAGGATCTGGGGCCCTCCCGACTCAGGCTGGGACAACCGTGGAGGAAGAGTCACCCTTGCAGGCGACGCGGCTCATAGCATGACGTTTCGTAAGCGATCTTATAATCCCCTTGCTTGCTTACTCATCCTTCGATATCATGCCATCTCCCATTGCGTCCAAGAATATCCATTCATTTCGTATGTGGCTAACCATAAAGCAAACGGCCAGACCGCGGCCAAGGCGCCAACAACGCCATCTGCGACAGCCAAAAGTTCGTCGCGGCCATGATCAAGGTCAAGAACGGCGCGGCCACGCTCGCCGAGGCCGTCGACGAGTACGACGCCGACGTCATCAGCCGGGGCAGGACCGAGGTCGACGTCTCCAAGACCCAGACGGACGCGTTCCACGACCACGCAAACTTCCACAACAGTCCCATCATGAGGTTGGGGATCAAGCCGACTTCACAGGCGAAGTGATTTGGTTCTTGCTTCTCGGGATTTTATTCCTTCCAACTTCGGGTGAATCTCTACGTCAGGTGAGGAAGGTCAGGGTTGACTGGGAGCCGGTGCGACCCCGTCACAAGGTAAGGCAAGTCAAGGTTGGAGACAGAGGCGGAGGATTAAAAAAAATGGACCCATATGCACTACCTATTGAGATATAGATAGCTATATCGCGGAGTATTGAAAATGGCCTATTTCCTGGATTGAACAAATTCATCTTCTTGTTTCCTCCCAGCATTTCTCGACAAGTCACCTCCCGTTTTGCTCTGTTCTTCCTTGTGGGTGCTAACTGCACAGTTCAGCCGGTGTCGAGCACTGATTCCCCTCGACACCTTGACCTGGGGTGTCGACGAAGATGTCGACATCATTCCCACGAAGGACGTTGCCTGTCACGGTGTTGTTTGCCGACTCGAGCCCTGTCACGGGGTCGTTCAGGATGGCGATGCCCACGGCGCTGCCGTTGGTTCCGCCGGTCGTAAGGCCCTCGACGAGGTTTGCATGGACCTGGTCAAAAGCGCCGAGGAGGGCGATGCCGACCAGCGCACCACCCGGCACGCTCGCGCAGAGCGGGTTGCCGTCGCTGACGCGGTTGCCGACAACGCGTGCGCCCGTGACGCCCGGGTCCACAAATCACGCGTTCGTGACGTCGTTGCTCGACACGTCGGCGCCGTCGGTCTGCACGCACAGTCCGACAGAGTAGTCGGCGACGTGGTTCTTGGTGACGTGCAGGTCGGACGGGTCGTGCATGCAGATGGCGATGAAGAGCAGGTCATCACCCATAGCGCAGGATGACGCCACGGTGTTGCTCTCAATATGGCTACTCGTTGAACCCACCGTCAAGCACCCATACTGCGCGCCGTCGTAGAGTGTATTCCCCTTCACATGGACGTCCTGGCCACCCACCACGGCGATATTCAGCCCAGAGAACCCGCGGACTTCGAACCCCGTCACAACCACGTCCTGAACGGGACGGCCGACCGAGATGACCCTCCTGTGCTCCACGACAAACTCAGCAAGCTGGACATTCTGCCCGGCACACAGATACCAGCTTCTGTATCGGGACCGGCCAGGCCTGAACAGGTGTTGTGCACATAAGAGCCGGGAGGTACCAGGATGGCTCCCTTGCCCATCAGCTGGAGGCCGTCGGTGGTGACTGTCAGCTATTTCGGGTACGTTCCCGCAGCGACGAGAATCAACTGTCCAGGATGAGCGGCGTTGATGGCGGCTTGGGTGGATTCCCCTGCATTGACATGAATCGCGCCGCCGTACCAGTCACTCGCGACGCCCGGGCATTCAAGCCAGGCGCACGCCCAAACGAACGGGGACATGGCCTTGTTGCTACTCCAGTGCGGAACTATGATTGCCATGGTCAAGATTGCCGAGTGGATGTGCTTGGTTTATATCTTTCTTAGAAGTCCTTGCTGTACGGAGAGAACCTATGCAGCACTATCCGGACGAGAACAAGAAGGTGGAAGGAACGGTCAGGATAAATTTGACGCCTTGGCCCCGGCTTGGCAATACAGGAGCGCGCCAGCCTTGCGAAATCGAACACTCCAAGATGTTCCGTGGAGGGGTACTTTTGCATTCGTAGCTACATGTGTACCGACCTCCCTGGCCACACACGGCCGCAAGATCTCATGCCTGGAGATCATGAATTTGCAGAGAAGACGCGCATTAGCGCTTAGAGATTCGATATAATTGGTACACGTACACCCCCCTCAAGACCACCTTCCTTTGTGCACCTCAAACCGAATGCCCCGCTCCCGGCGAGGCAATAAACGCGGAGACTCGCGCATTGCGTCCCGCACCGTTTTCTCGCCCCGTCTTTGTGAATTCCTATTTTGAAGACACAGCGTTGGGGGAGGATCAATGAAATTGCACACCAGAACAAGACACCCTATCAGCCATGGCGGCCGCCAGCGAGCGCATTGAGTCCGGTGATTCACCACCCGCTCCGATACCTTCAACTAACAACCAGCCGGGAGTCGGGCAAAATGCTTTACCTAACGGTCAGAAGAAAAAGATCATTGTTTGCTGTGACGGTACTGGAAAGAATGAAATCCTCGAGGGTCCATTGAGCAATGTCTCTCGCATCTCGCGGTGTATCACACCAGTCGACCTACATGGGGTACCTCAGGTCGTGTACTATCAGCCAGGCCTTGGAACCGACCCGGAGAAACGGCAGTTCTGGAACAAGAAGTTCGTTGAAGCCACGGGAGAAGGTCTGCTATCGTCTCGTCTCTGAATTGTATCATGGAATGCTGACCCCGCGGAGGGATCAACGAAGCCATCCGCGAAGCGTACAGCTTTATATGTCACAACTATTCTCACCCTGATGATGAGATCTACCTTTTCGGTTACTCACGTGGCGCTTTTACAGTCCGCTGTATAGCTCAACTGATAAATGATATCGGGTTACTCAAGAAAGCTGGCTTGTTGAGCCTGCCTAACCTCTTTACAAGATGGGCGACAGAGACCCGACCGCTGACACCTGGATCAACTTTTGCGCAATACAAGAACAATTTTATTAGCAAAAATCTACTGCGCAACGATATCCATATCCGGGCATGCGCAGTTTGGGATACTGTTGCATCCATTGGGATACCTAGGCTGGCTATATTTTCTCAACCTCCACCGCAGCATTTGAAATTTGTCAATTCAGAGCTGTGCCCAAAAATCGACTACGCATTTCAGGCAATTGCCCTTCACGAGTATCGCCGTCACTTTCGGCCTATTCTTTGGCGGTCCGCTCACGCAAATCAGACTCTTAAACAATGCTGGTTCCTTGGTTATCATGGTGATGTCGGCGGTGGAAGAAGAGATGGAGCCTTAGCTCATTTCGCTCTTGTCTGGATGATGGATCAATTGAAAGACTTCCTCAATTTCGACGTCAGCGGTCTGTGGATCTCACCCGGGAACGCGAGAGAAGGACAACCTAACGCGTTCGAGAATTTGAATCCTGTGACATCGCGATCCAGACCCAGACTCCCATGGACATGGGGCGTCAATCTTGATATGCAGCGTCCAGAAGGTAATACGAGGGTAGAGAATTTTTGCAAACTGCCACTGACGATATGGATAGCTACCCTTGAAGATTCCATGGCTAACATACACTGGGCGGGCGGACGCCATGTGCGAGAGCCACGACGTGACTTCTGGGACGGCGAAGGCATTCAAACACCGGCAGTTCAAGCCAACACTATTACTTCAAACGAGGTGTTGCACTTCTCAGTGCGAATGCTGCTCGCCAAGAACGTGGTCAACGTCCCTCTCTGTCTCACCGTGTGCAAATGTGAGCAAGTTGACCATATGATTCGATGGACAATCGAGTCGTGTGGCGAACCCAGAGCCCGCTATACCATGGCAGAAGACACATGCACAGAAGGAGAGCTCAGGTTGCTGCGAACATGGCTCGACTCAGAGGATAGTAGAATCACTGAAAATCGTGAGCTGAGTCGTATACGCAACGGAATCAAAGATGCAGTACCTCGAGACTTAGCAGGACTCCAAGACCAGAACGTGGCATGGACATCTCCACGATGCCTTGAACGGCAGATGCCTCAGGACCATACTGCCAAAGGATGGTTCAAATCCCTTTGGAAGTTGCTTTGATAAACTAACCTAGTTTTGAGGCATCTGAAACCGAGGTTGGGGGAGGATATAAAGACTTGTATCGGCAGCGGTGAGGATATTAGAGAGTGCACTCTGGAGAAGACGGAAACGCGTTGGACAAAGATATGATAATGACAGGACATAATGCGTGCATTAATACAGGTCACCTTTGTAAAGCACACCCTCGGTGTACTGAGCTCAATATCCGTAAATACACAGCTCCTCGCAATGAATGCTTCGTGTATCATTAAGTTTGGTTTTTACCCGTCACCCACCCGTCAGACTAAACTCCAACACGTCCCAAAATCCCAATCCCGGCCCTTTGTTCATCCAGTCGACATACCCAGCTAAAATTGATATTCAACGGCGTGGTCGCATTATATCAAGTATGCGACAAACTCCGCCCACTGGATGGCGGTATTGGCATAGACATTGGCGGCGGTCCGTATCTTTGTTGACGTCGTGGAGATAAACATAACAGTATTCTGCACCTTAATATCATCGATGTATGGAAGTGATCGCTTCGCTGACTCCAGCGGTGCTCTGTTTGTCTATGTAAACACGCGTCAATCCATACATAAGGTGATCACGCTTAGCTTGCTAAAGGCTTCCCCAGAATTTGGTATGATTTGAGGTTCGTTTCGAATTTCTGGGTTGAATATTCCAGGAATCTCACCTCGTCTTTTGTTCAACAATGAGATAGTGCAGCGTATCTGGGCTGCTTTCAGGCCGGTAAATCCTCCAAAAGACTTACATAAGTATTTATGAGGCACATTTTTGTAGAACTCGTACGAGAGTGCAAAGAGGAGGAGCCTGTTCGATCTACATAGTGTTTGTATCATTCTCTTCTGACCTAACCGTTTCAACAGCCAAATACTTTATGGAAAGCATGTATTCTAGGCTTCACTGGCGGCAGGCTCGTAAGCCGAAGGAATAGCCCATGGTCGGCGGAAGGGCTCTGGAGAGCGCAGTAATACTTCCCTCGTCCGGAATATAGTCCAGCAACATGAGTAGAGCAGAGTAAAATTCAAAGTCACGCTTGAGGCTGTGCTCATGTGATAACGGGCCTCGAATTTAATTCGGATGGCGCCTTCTGTGTGTCTCGAAGCACTATGTCGGGGTTAAAGGGAGACAGACCTGGTTTGCTCCAGCTGGACTTGATGTTGCGATAGGTAGATGTAACGTCGCGAGCCCGGCTGTACAACAGGGTAAAATGCTTAACCTTTCCACAAGCTGGCAAGGTCCTGTCTCGTGTGCAAAGGTGAGATCCGTAGTAGGTTGTCGTCCGAATAGCATGCATTGCTATCTGCGTACCGACCTTGGACAGTACGGGTCTCACTGACGTAGAAGACAATTCTCAGACTTAGAACCTCGTAACTTCGAACACGGAAGTCGAGGATGGATTCTGCCTGGACAGGTATTCGTGATGCGCGGATCCCTAGGACATCCATATCGTATTTGAACACATCTCGCCAATCCGTCGGTAGATACTATTCGTGAGTTATCATGGTGAGTTCGTGTCTTCGGTGAACAAGCTTCTAGCTCCTCAACACGAGACAAATCCAGACCCTCGATCGAAGCCGGCCATGTGACGCCGATTTCCAAGACCTTGTCGCGGACCCGTACTGCGGCGGCACTGAGCACAAAAGTTAGATGTTGAACACCTCGGCTTGTTTCACCGCTGGAACTCTCATCCTAAAACCAAGACCAGGTTGGGAAAGTGCAATTAAATCCTTAGATTCTTAAGTTGCACAAAAGTCCCGTTATGGCGATGGACGAGAGTGGACATCTTCCTAACTCGAGTGAACACGGGAGGCAAAAGGCAGGGTTAGATCTCTTGGTCGATGTGCAGCTGAAATGTGAATACGAACCTCGCCCTCTGGTTCGGTAGCCTAGTTTCCGCGTGAAAGTGTGAGGACAAGAAGGGTGCAGCTGGAAGAAGAAGAAGAGGGACAGAGGTGAAACAAGAGCAATACTGTCGCTAAAATATCGAAATATCCGCCCATCTATGGTAACATGGAGGAATATTCATACATGTTGTTTACCCACTCGATTCAACGGCCAGACATGGATGTGATATAGTTGGTTATCCCGGCTTCCGGCCCTTGACAAAGTACCATCGCTGGTAAAGATGGAGTCTGCGGTCTACAAACTCCTCCTTCACCTCGGCCATGGCAGTCTCGGTGACTTCGTCGCTGTGGTGCAAGACCCGCTTGTAATAGGCCAGCATGAACGAGGGCACTGATTGGAGCATCTGTATTCGATAGAGGACTCCGATCTCTTTCAACTTTCGATCCTTCGCCCAGGGCCCTATGGGAACCTGTAGTGACTCAGAAACGGCGACTACTTACGTGGCTGGGGTCGTTGCACTCACCTTCTTCACGACTTCCTCCACATCCTGGAACCCGGCTTGAAGCATCCAGCGTTTGTGGAGGTGAGCCACATTCAGTGGCTTCCCGACCCTGTCGCTGGCCTGTTGTAGTTGTGCGATGGCCGAGACGCACGCGGTTGCACGCTCCAAGCCGCCATCATCGCTGAAGAAGTTCACGGCATGTTCTTGCAGCTCAATCCAGCCTCCGGGCTTGAGATTCCTAAAAGCCTGCGCATAGAACCGTGGCCAGTCCCCGATGCCACCGCACAGACCGCGGGCGTGGATAAAATCAAACTTCTCGTTCTCCGCCCACGTCCAGTCCGCTTCTGCATCGTCGACGTAGAACTGTAGATTCGGTGGCACCCAGGGCGGCTGTATAGGACTCAGATCCGTTCCTATCACCTGGGCGCTGGGGAACTGGTCGGCGATCTCAACGGCCCATATACCTGTGCCGGTGCCGACGTCGAGGATACGATGTGGATCGCTAGGGAGGGGCGCGGTGAACAGCTCCCCGCCCAGCAGCATTTTGCAGATGTGGTGGAGCAGATCAAGTCGATCTTGCTCCTCTTCGTCGTTGGGCAGATAGTAAGCACCTTCGCGATATGAGTGGTACGTGCGCCCATTTTCGTATCGGTAGTTGTACACTGACGATCGGACACTCTCGCTGAGTAACGATTGTGGCCCTCCATCAAACCCGGAATCCGCATCCGACTGATCGTCCTGGCGCAGCTGTTAGCAAGCCACGTTTGTGCAAGGGATCTTACCTTCCGTACTCTATAATCGTGATCGACCAAGAGATTTCCCTCTGAAGAGATGGATGCTTCTCGGTCGCTTTGCCCGGTCGCCATGCTGCCTACCACAACTTGAATTTCTGGGGTTGAGGCGAGTGTGCGACAAATTCCTGGCACTGGAGACCAAGGAAGTTCCGAGTGGGGAGTGGGATCGGGGTGGGCTGAGATGGGAAATGTAACTGAAGTCACCGAGGAAAACCACTTTGACCAGACACCAAGATATGCCAGTTTGGTTGAGGTTAGGCTCTATGAGAAAGTGCCGGGGAAGTGAGGGACTTGGGCGGGACTTGTGCAGGTCGAACAAGTAGAGATGGCGGGCGACTGTGCCGCATGTCATGCCACCCACTATCCATCCACCGCCCACCCAATCCTCAGTGTTCACCACTCCTTACCTAGGTACGTACTTACATACCACTCACTACATAATTACTCACTATTTACTACTCACTACTGTCTACTTTTACTGCCCACTGCTCACTACTCGTCAACCACTCCGATTGTCCCGAGTATTAGCTGCCATGTCCGCAGCTTATCAGGTTTTCAGGGCACGTTATGGCCACTCGCCTATTGGCCCTATCCGCTCATGCATAAACCATGTGCCAATATTCCTTCCACCTGTCTCTATTCCCTCTCATTGGCGATACCAACCCCTACACACTGCCTGGCGGGTGGCTAGGGAATCCCCGTTGATGCCGGCTCAAGCGCCCTGCAGGATAGATACTACGAGACCACTGCAACCAGGATGGACGGGGCTCCTGCACATGGGTGAATGAATGGATAAATTGTGCTTCGTTGCGCAGCTCTGCTCTGCCTCTCGACAACCCTTCGACCGTAGTCGTCCCTTGTAACGAACAAACAAGAAATGGCCATAGCCATTGCTGCCGGTCCCTTGGCCCAAACCCTCCTAGCGGCTACTGGCGCATATGCGCTCTACCTTGTCGCCCTTGTAATCTATCGCCTGTACTTCCACCCGCTCGCGAAATTCCCCGGGCCCAAGTACGCGGCGATCAGCCACTGGCACGAAGCCTACTACGATGTCTTCCTGAAGGGACAATTTACGTTCAAGGTCCAGGAGATGCACAAAAAATATGGTACTATGACTTTCGATTTGATTGCCCTAGGGAGTCTTGCTTGTTCCTAAAATGTCACGCTTAGGACCGATCGTACGCATTGTCCCCGACGAGCTCCATATCCAGGACTCGGACTTTTACGAGACGCTCTATACCAAGGCCGGGCGCGTGGACAAGTATGAGTGGATGGCTGGCCGATTTGGTGATCACGACTCAGCTTTTGCGACAGCATCGGACGAACTTCATCGCATTCGACGGGGTGCTCTCAACCCGCTCTTCTCGCGACAACGCATCCTCGATCTCCAGGATGTGATCCAAGGTAAAATCGACATCCTGGTCGAGCGTGTCCGCGAGTTCCAGGCCACCGGGAAAGTCATGCCTATCAACCGGGCATTTGCAGCACTTACGGAGGAAGTCATACTGGAATACTGCTTCAGCCTCAGCTACGACGCTCTCCGCGAACCGGAGTTTGAAAAGTCGCTACACGATCCGATCATGGCCGCTAACCAGTTCAGCAACGTGTCTCTGCAGTTCCCGTGGATCCCTATGGTTCTTTTCAACCTTCCCCAATCCATTACGGTGAAAATGCAGCCTGAATACGCTCTGTTCTTCAGGATGCAAAATGTAAGGAGTGGTGCCTATCCCGAGGAGCGACCATGTAATGCTGACCAAATACAGGACTTTCGGAAGCAAATCGACGCGATGAAAGCCGGCAAAATGAAGGATGTCCTGGAGAAGTCTTCTCATCGAACAGTATTTCAGGAGTTGGTTGAAGGTAACTTACCACCGTCAGAGAAGAATTCACTACGATTACAGGGCGAGGCTTCCGTCGTAGTCGCGGCGGGAGTCATCACCACAGGCTGGGCGCTGTCTACGGCGGCTTTCCATATCATCAACAATCCACCAATCTTTCAGAAACTACGGGCCGAGTTGGAGGGTGCTATGCCGGACCCCACCGTCAAGCCCAGCTGGTCTGACCTCGAGAAGCTACCATATCTTTCCGGGTGTGTGCGAGAAGGGGTTCGTATGTCATATGGAGTGACGGCGAGAGAGCCCCGGCTCTTGTCCAAGCCTCTAGAGTACAAGGGCTGGATCATCCCCCCAAGGACTCCTGTGAGCATGACCAATGTCGACGTCTGCGACGACGAGAAGATCTTTCCGAATCCCAGAACGTTCCAACCTGAGCGATGGATCGGAAATCCTAAGACAGCTCACGGGCAAAGCTTGGAAAGATACTATGTTAGCTTCGGTAAGGGTTCACGAAGCTGTCTGGGCATCAAGTAAGTGTGCTGAGCTCGTTGATGCTGATCAACCGTCATATTGAGTGTCCGTCATAGCCTTGCACACGCCGAACTCTTCTTGACCATCGCGTCGCTCTTCAGAAACTTTGACTTTGAGCTTTACCAGACCGATATTAGTGATCTCGAATTAGCGCACGACTTCTTTGCTCCGAGCCCACGACTCGACTCGAAGGGCGTCCGGATTAAGGTTAAGCCCGCATAGACGGCGTCGTACAACTCCATAGACAAGCTTTTGTTGAGTTGGCGACGAGCAAAGGGACGGTCACTGGCGTGCGTCGTGCAGAGAGATCCGAGTGAGGTAGCTAATGGAATTGTCAGTGTTATGTGGCCATCAAAGATATTATTCTTCCCGTTGACAGAAACGTGACAGTGAGTGTGACTGTTCGGTTACCTTGTTAGTCTCTCTCGTGAGGATTGAGCACTAGTTGCTGTCATCAGTTGACCGAACCTGAGTAGACGGCAGACGGTATCCCATGGCGAGATAGTCCGCTCAGAGATCCTGTGATGGTGACATGTAGCCCTCTGTTACGCACCGTAATCTACCAAACCAAGCGCGAAGTTTTTTTCTCAGTGTTTACCATCCCAATCCAAAGGGAGAAAGGGACTCCGTACAGGTGCACATGCGCAACAGCTGACAAGCCACAAAAAAAGTCGATCTATCTCTCGGAGGAGATGTCGGTTCGGCGCCCACCTAGCTCCCGACCCTGTTTCAAGGACGACAGGTGGACAGTGGTGGTGTGGTCGACGACCTGAACGACAGTATCTCTCCCAACGTGCAGAATACCTCTTCGCGCTTGTAGCTGGTCTTGGATGTCCGTGTCTCAGAAAGTAACGGTGACGTATATATTCTTAGAGTCACACAAGCCAGATATAGAAACGACGAATTCGAGGACTGATGATGCGGTTCGAGACGAATCTATCACCTCTTTTGACAAAGAGCGTTGCTAGAAGCGTCGCGAGTCCACGCACTGAGGTTGTTGTCCTTTTCCTTCCTTTTCCCTGTTTACCAGCCTTCATTTCATCGACAGTGTCGTCTTCGTCTCCGTCTTCGTGAGGACACGATGTGTGCCGCCGTAGAGTGAGTGGAGGGACAAAAATTTGAGTCCGATCAGGAGGACAAATAAAGGCAGCGCCGTGGTCGTGAGCATATCCAAGTGAACGAGGTGACAGGTAATTGTCGTTTATGTCATCTTCAACTGCTTCGTCGAGGCGGCGGGAGGATCGTTCAGGCGACCGTCGGGCTATTCTTAGCGAACAATGGGTGCACGGAGAAGTCTCTGCGACGCCAGGTATTCGCTCGGTTTGTTCCGGCCCTGCGCGAGTGGGTGGGCGAATAACAAGCCTAAAACCAACATCACGACACATTCTATTCTGGTCTTCGTGGCCATGGGTATATATGAGATCAGTCCATCCCACGCCTTGCTGACTTTTGTTCTTGTGCTTCCTCTCTCCTCGCCAATTCAATTCAGTGATTGGAGAAGAAGAAGAAGAAGGCGACTTTGTCCTTGATGGCAAGAGACTGGCAACTAATGTGCATGTCACTTCGGCATCTACCACCCATTACCCTGATCCAACCTACTCATTTCATGCTTTCAAACAGGCCAATTGGGAACAGAGATCATGGATGAGATTACAGGGCCCAATCCCCCTTTACCCGACCCAAGCAAACATTCTGATAATCCCGCGAAAACCGAGTCACCCATTATGAAGTCCTCGACATGCATGTGAGAGTCCCCGACACAACCCTTTGCAACAGGAAAGAAGAGCATGCAGTAGCAGGGAGTAGCGGATCCGTCGAGGTGTGCGCCCGACACGGGCCTTTCAACCTTCCCGGTCGCCGACGCGAGGCCCACGACCTAGTGGTCTCTTCCCCCTGCTCACCACCACCACCTTCAGCCAGCCACAAGTCGAGATACCCACTGTCGAAGCTCGAAGACTCAGACTGAGGAAGTAGGCATCTGCGACACCACATAGCGACTACTGTCACCGTCCAACTACTCAATATACAATGAATGGCAAGGAGAGAGAAGGTGCCCTTTCTTCCGCTGATCGTGAAAGCTCAACCAACGGTGACATACCATGTCAGTCTTTCACTAGCCGGTAGAATCAGCAGGGCCCTTTCGACTTCAGGGTCCATGCGCAGCAAAAGGGCCTTCAGCAACATTCCATCCGCTCCCATCTCAAGCCTCTTCCTCGCCACTGAGTATGCTCCCCGAATACGAGGCTGTAACACTCAGCTCATGCACATGCTTTCTTCAAGGCGAATTAAGCCATTCAATCTACAGGATTTGGCCTATTAGGCTGCGTTACAGGCTCACCGCATCTTTACTTCAGGCAGCACTGCTATTAGATGGCGCCTGGATGCATCCAGACCCATCGCGGATGCAGTCACCAATACTAATTCCGGGCAACATACATACAAAGACTGCATTTCCAAGGTTCTCTATCCAGCCACGTCACCAACAATGTCACGTCTCAGAAATGTGATGAGCGACGCTTTACTTAATTCGTTTCAAGCTCTTTACTTAAGGTTCGTACTCCCACCAGAGACATACGTGCACTTCGTTGAACCTATGGGAAATGCGGGAGCGAACGTCTCAACCCTGCCGTTTGACATAAAATATGCGCCCAAATGAGCAAAGAGACAAGAGTGAAGCGGCCAAAATCAGTCTCTCGCACTGGAATGCTCAACAATTGTTGGGTGTAGGGCTCACTCACAGCGGGTTTGATCGCCGATCGTAAAATTTACAGCCCGACAGTTGCCATAGTCCCTCTTGGTCAGGCAGGGTCAGAGAACATTCTTCGACCTATAAATAACACCGAACTGTCGCCAACTTTGTCAACCACCAAACAGTCTTTCCAGAACTTCTTTTTCCACTCATTCTCTCACAACATGTCCCATATGGCTAGCCCTTCCAGGCGCGGACCCCAAAACAGAGTCACGAAGCGACCTTGGACACAAGATGAAACAAATCTTTTGGTCATGAGTCTTCAGGCTGGGTATCCTTACGGCGAAATCCGACGAAAATTCTTTCAAAGAAGATCAATCCGAGCTTGCAAAGCTCGAATTGAAACTCTAGAGAAAAATGGCATGCTAGCCAGCTTTCTTCCAATTGCCTCACAATCGAGCTTAACAGCCGGGTCACGGACAGGGGAAAATCACAATAGAGAAGGATCCACCAGAAGACGCTTAAATCCCTCAAGGAGATCGAGATTTCCAGGGGTGCATGCGGACCAGTCGTTGGCCTCAGCAGGCGAGGCGACTGACGCCACTTATATGTCCCCAGACATGTCAGATGAGGAGGACGGTGATGATTCATACGTGGAAACTAGTTCTCATATTGACGTTCTGGATGTCCCTTCCCCGAGCGTCCATACAATGGATGCACCTGCCAGCCCAGATACTATGGCGCCAGCAGACGAAACGGTCAGCCAAATCCAGCCGCAGATCAACGGTTCTGTGCGACAAACCACCCCCGGTATGCCTCAGAGTCAGGAGGCACCCTCTGCTGAAGTCGAGGCCCGTCGACTCCATAACTCGGTCCGGGAGATCTGGAATCAAATCTCTCAATTCTACATCAACTATCCCGCTCCGGACGTGAATGTTCACCAGACAGATAAATGGGAGGCTGATTGCGAGGACATCCATTTTTTGCTTTTAAAGTACGTTAGCGCCTTTCGTCTGTGTTGCAGAAGCTGATTATCAATATAGGTGGACCAGAGACCTGCCTCTACAATACGCAGTGGTGAATGGGGAGGTTCCAACGGATGCTCCAACAGATTTAATTGTGGCCCACCTGGAGTATCGGGTCGCACAAATCAAATGGTATGGGCCAATGCACAACTGTGATCCCTCGCGGAGACCCCATGGGATGTTCAAGAGTCCGGAAAGGATCTGTGTGAATGCTGCCAGGGAGATTGTCTCGATCCTGGAACAACATCTCCGGCGAACACCGCTGGATATGATCGGCCCCCATTTGAAGGCCCTGGCAACGGCGACCCTCACCGCATTCAATGCTCTCAAAGGTTCGGAATGGCATATTTCGTCCCGCTCCATCTAAGCACCGACTGACCAAGGTTTTCAGATCACGCTCCTTGTCCAGATCAAGACATACTTATGACCCAGAGAATGGCACAAATGCTTGCAAGTCTCCTCAATGTGCTGGTAAGTGATGTGTCCGGCAACCTGGCCACATCGAAGGAGCTCTTGCTTCCCGGAAGCACCCCCTGCGTACCTATGAATGCGCCCAACACTCTCAGGTACGTAATTGCGACCTCAAAAAGTTGAGATATATGAGTAGGTCCTCGTTTTGGACTGACATATAGCTCTTAGGCGAGGACCAGGCGAAGTTCCAGATGCATCCAACCAACACAATAATCCTGGATTTGTCCCCTCGCCATCAACTCGAACGGGGAATGGTCCGCTCAAGGGTGAGACTCCTCCTGGCGATTTTGGACCAAGTCGAGGCCAACGCTGACAGTGCTCAATGTACTACAGAGGAAGAGGCCAACCTGAACACCCATGCAAGTGCAGCAGGACCCTCTAATCTCATTGGGGGGCCTAATGATGAACGACAACGGCGACAAGCAGCAGCGAGCCCATTGACCTATGCAGCACCGTCTGAAATATCTCAAAACCCTTTCAGCGAGGTAAGAGGTTCTAGTCGTTGTTGTTCCTGGTCTCGACGGCTTATTACCTTCCCTCTGTCCCCCATCTGTCACTGTTTACTTCTTTAGCTGCAGCTGGTATTTGCCTCATCATATAAAGACCAGTCAAACTGACACTCGCACGTGTACTAGCTTGGGCAGTTCTTTACGGACGACTCCATTTTCGACAACTTTCAGAGCTGAATATGCCCTTACCGAACTGATCTGATGATGTGAGGCAACTCTGGCCGATCTAACGTTTACAAATTCTCTTTTGGCCAATCTAACCGAGAACATGTACCAGTAGGGGTTAATTGACCTGTGGCGTTTAGGGGGAATGAAAGAGGATGTTAAATCACAACAGTCGACTGACTTTGGTACAGATGCGGTCGCCGAAGCCTATACATCTGAAAACACACTTTCTGAACTCGCTGTTTTAAGGATCATTTAAGAGATGGTCTAGTAAGTGTGTTTTTGGATATACAGGCTTCGGCGACCGCATCTGTACCAAAGTTAGTCGACTGTTGTGATTTAACATCCTCTTTCATTCCCCCTAAACGTCATAGGCTAATTAACCCCTATTAGTACATATTCTTGACTACTTTAGGTGGTCGTTCCTGGTATAGGTGGTCTGTATGATGTATGGTAATGCGGCAGCGAGCTGCAACTATCGATACCTGGAATGGAGGTTCTCCTTTCGTTACGCCTAATGGCGGATCTACAATCGCAAATTCTCGCTCAAGACCGTCCTCCTCCTGGCCGATCAGCTTATCTCTCGCATCGAATACATTCACGCTAAGTCCTTCATCCACCGTGACATCAAACCAGACAACTTCCTGATGGGTATTGGCAAGAGAGGCAACCAGGTCAACGTGATCGACTTTGGTCTGGCCAAGAAGTACCGCGACCCCAAGACTTATTTCCACATCCCATACCGCGAGAACAAGAACTTAACCGGCACGGCTCGTTATGCCTCGATCAACACTCACTTAGGGGTGGAACAATCTCGCCGTCACGACATGGAGTCTCTAGGCTATGTCATGCTCTACTTCTACCGTGGTTCTCTTCTATGGTAAGGTCTCAAGGCGGCCACTAAGAAGCAGAAGTACGATCGTATCATGGAGAAGAAGATGACTACTCCTACAGAGGTTCTATACCGTGGTTTCCCTAACGAGTTCGCCATCTACCTCAACTACACCCGCTCTCTCCGCTTCGATAACAAGCCAGACTACTCGTACTTGAGGAATATTTTCCGGGATCTCTTCGTCCGAGAATCGTTCCAACACGACTACGTCTTTAACTGGACCGTCTACAAATACCAGAAGAATGCTCAGGCCATCGCCTAAGCTGCTGGCAACCAGACCACGGGGGAGGACGAGGAGAAGCCCCGACGTCCTACACATCCAAAAACACACTTTCTGAACTCGCTGTTCTAAGGATCATTTAAGAGATGGTCTAGTAAGTGTGTTTTTGGATGTACAGGCTTCGGCGACCGCATCTGTACCAAAGTCAGTCGACTGTTGTGATTTAACATCCTCTTTCATTCCCCCTAAACGCCACAGGTTAATTAACCCCTACTGGTACATGTTCTCGGTTAGATTGGCTAAAAGAGAATTTGTAAACGTTAGATCGGCTAGAGTTGCCTTACATCATCAGATCAGTTCGGTAAGGGCATATTCAGCTCTGAAAGTTGTCGAAAATGGAGTCGTCCGTAAAGAACTGCCTAAGCTAGTACACGTGCGAGTGTCAGTTTGACTGATCTTTAAGTACCGAATACCTCGTACCTGCCCCTTCAAGACCGGCGCCAGGGGAGAATGCGACATAACACGAGTCATCTAGTTAGGTAACGAGTACGAGGGACCTACCTACCTACTCGGTACTTGATACCTATCGGGCACGTACCACCGTTGATCTACTGGGGACATACCAAGCACTCGTACATCACTGGGTACGTACGAGGTACTCACCGTAGGAGTGGATAGGTATGTGTTCATGCATTTATGTAACCTCGCAAGTACCGGGTCCTCGTACTCGTACTGGCAATCGTACATGCGAGCGTCAAGCGAAACCTCTTGACTCCAGTCTGCCGTCTCCAGTCCTCTATTCAGCTCTGCTCCGAGGAGACATGCCATGGCGAGACATGCTTTGGGGTTGGGCGTCAGGCGTCCAATCTTCAATTCAGGCCCCCTCGCCGTGTACGATGTAACCGAGCGCGTGGTTTGCGGAGGATTTGATATCACCGGGGCCCGTTGATTCAGGGAAGTAATGTAGCGGTCAGGACTTGAAGGTTGGGAAGGGAGGAACGGCGGATAGGTGGGTATTCATGAAGACACTGATGTGGACACTAGATACAGGACACTGGACACAGAACACAAGAGACTAGACAGGTATCTAGAAGAATTTCACAGGATAAATATGAGGAACAACCCCCAGAATAATAGCAGGGGGAAAAAAAATACTGTACTAGTTCCCTTAGTTCTAGGTCTTGAGCTGGTTTTCAAGGTTCGAGGTTGGAGGTTAAGGTGAAGTTGGCCCCATCAGGACGAGGAAGAGCATTGACGAAAGAGATTCCAGCATCGCATCCTAACGTCGAATCTCGACTTTCAGCAGTCTAGTACCCCTGAATCTAAGCCAGTTGTTGAGTGCCGTCTCTGTCATATCCCTCCATGTCCGCCTCGAAACCCACAATCATCCTCGTCCACGGCGCGTGGCACTCGCCTGAGCATTTCCGTCCGTTGGAGCAGGCACTCAATTCACCACCACCACCACCACCACCATCATCATCTCCTTCCGGTGGTTACAAAACCATCTCACCGTGGCTACCGAGCATGCACTACACCCGCCTGGGCCTGCCCCCTCCATCAAACATCGCCGACGACATCGCCGCGATTCGTCAGGCCATCGTCTCCGAATTGACGTCCCACCCGACCACCAACGTCGTGGTGCTCTCGCATTCGTACGGCACCGTACCAGCCACCGCGGCGCTCGAGGGACTCGACATGGCGACGCGCGCACGGGTTGGCCATGACAACGGCGTGACTGCGCACTTGATCATCTCGGGCCTCCTCGCGCCCGCGGGGACCTCTCTCCTAGACTGGGGCGGCGGGCAAGTTCCACCGACGATGGTCTTGTCAACGGTTCCGGTTCCTTTGTCTTCGTCCGGAGGAGATAAAACTGGTTGCGTCGAGAAGGGGGATAGGGAAGTCAAGGTCTGCACGCCCGTCAAGGACCCCGGTCCGGTCGCGCTGTTCTATCACGATCTCGCCGAGCGGGATGCGCGTGCCGCTGAACACTACGCGAGTCTGTGCGTGCCGCAGGTCTGGGCCGTGCAGGAGACGGTCGTGCCGTTTGCGCCGTGGAGTCCACCCCGTTTAGAGACGGAGATAAAATCAAAGACAGAATCTCCATCGGAAACTCCATCGAAGATAGACTCCCAGACCCAGTCCCAGTCAGGACAAATATCAAACCCAGGTTCAGACTCCAATACGGAAACGGGTACGGCTACGGCTACGGGGATAGGTATGGACATACACTATCTCGTCTGCGAAGATGACCGGGCCCTCCCAGCGGCGATCCAGCGGGTCATGATCGACGGCGCCGACAAGGGCATAAAGGCGCACCACCACCACCATCACCCTTTGTCGAGAGCCGAAGGGTCCAAAATCCACGTCACAGCGATCAACAGCGGACATTGTCCGTTTTTGAGCCGCGTGGACGAGACGGCGCGGTGGGTGAGGCGGTGTTGTAGCGAGGGAGAGGTATAGTCTACAGGCTACAGTACCTAGGTACGCGAGACGGGAGTCTGTAGTAGTTTACAAGGATCTAGTCTAGTGTGGTTGAGTCTAGTTGAGTATATTCTATCAAAAAAAAAAAAAAATCAATCAAAAAAAAAAGCATGGAGATGGCTAAAGTATTAGGGAGACAAGTCTACGCTAGTCTAGTATATCAAAAAGAGATACTTCTACTGGTAGTAGGATATTCACCTCGTATTGTGGTAGATATTTGCGTACAGTACCAGGGACATGTTTTTGTATCCATCATGGTCCTTGCTGTCGTCTTTGGTACACATCTCCCCCAACCAGGTCCCTGCATGCTAATACTATAAATATATACATGTTACAACCCCGACGATGAGATCACCTCCCTTCCTTCCATCTCCCATCTCCCATCTCCCACCTCTTCGCTACCCTTCATTACTCCAGCTTGCCCACTCTCCCCAGCGCCAGCGCGGTAATAACCGCCGCCCCAACACCGCTTCCGTCCTCCGCACTCGTCAACTCGATCCCCTCCAACTCACTTCCCGCTTCCTCTGTAGAGACCGCCTTCGCCCCCATCTTCATGTCCAGAATCTCGCGGACCGCGTCCTCCCACCGCTCCCGAAACCGGGGGTGTTTGATCGCGACGCTCCCGTCCGCGGCGACGTGGCCCCTGCGGACGCCGATGCGGCGGCAAATGGCGGAGACGCCGCACGCGCAGAGCCGCGCGCCGCGGATGGCGATCAGCTTGGCCAGGGCTTGGAAGAAGCGCAGTTCCTGTGGCGAGGGGTGCAGGTTTGAGAGGGTCTCCTGGAAAGCGCAGGCTGATGCCGTCAGAGATTCTGAGGAGTCGTTTTCGAGGTTCGACAGGAATTCCGTGTCGATCGCGTAAGGGGTGGCGAGGCGCTCCGCTGGCTTGTCGTCGAGGTTGGGGTTCTGGAATATGACGCGGCGAGAGTGCAGTTCGAGCAGCACCTGGCGGAATATCTCGCCTAGGTATAGTCCCGCAGACATCTTCTCGAACGTCTGTTCGCCCGGCCGGGGAGACTGCTCGTCGATGAGTTCGTCGTACCGCGTCCGCGGTAGGATCGTGTGGGAGTTATCAAAGGCGCCGTATTCGCAGTTGATGGCCATGAGCGAGTCGTCTGCTCCGTCGTTGTCGTTCTCGGTCCTCGAAGTAGTTGTGGTGCCGTTGGAGGACGGGTCCTTTTGTCGTAATTTCGGTATACGCAACGCTCGCTCCATATACGCCGCGTTGCAACCGGTGCCGAAGATGGCGCCGATGATCGTCTCGGGGTCGTTGTAGGCGGACGCGATCAATGCGCCGGTGGTGTCGTTGATCAGTGCGACAAGCTTGACGGGGAGGTCCTGAACGGCGTAACACAACCGGGTCAGCATTTAGCGAAGGGAATTTCATAGCAGAAGTCAAACAAAACGGGGTCAAAGACGAGGTAATAGGCATAGGTAGTACTACAACACGTACCCGTTTCGCAATGGCCTCCTTCAACATCTCTGCCACGTCATGTCCTTCGACGCCTTGCACATCCCATCCCTTGGTCCAAGTCTGCAAGATCCCATGATCAATCCTGCCCTGGGTTGCTGGGTAACTGAACGTGAATCCCAGGGGTACTTTCCCGTCGTCCTCGTCAAAATTGCCGGTGTCGACGTGTGCCTTGACGAAATCGTCGAGACGATCGGCAATATGTCCGAATAGTTCATCTGCCGTTCCGGTCTTGATGGCCTTGGGAAGCTGGTACTTTTCCTGTGTGATGTCGGCGCCGCCCGATGTGCCCGTGAGCGTAATGAGACACACGCGGAGGTTTGTGCCCCCGAGGTCGAGTGTGAGGTATGTGCCTGTTTCTCGTCCTGTTGGGAAGGCTGTGACCCAGGTTATGTTCATTGGCTGAGAGGGTCAGTATCTCATACGTACAGAGGATGGAGCCTTTGTAGGGTATAGATGGGATAACGAAGGGAGAACATACCACATTAGATCCGTGTTTTTGCAGGCCTGGTAGGTGGTACTGTCAACAGCTGTTCATGGGAGTGCCTGGTATTGAGGCCTGGAGCATCCACTGCGTGGCATGAGGTATTCATTGTGACCAGGTACTCTTCCAATGGCCGATAATATCCGTCACGACACAGACACAGGCACGAACTCACCATCTTCGAGTTCTTCACCAAACCGATCGGTAATCTTCTTCAACGTAGCAGTATCGACAGTAAACAGCTGCTCCAGCCTCCGCAGTTCTTCACCCAATTTCTCGGGCAAATCGTCGGGAATTTCTGCAATTGTAAGAAACCGCAGAAACCAAAAACGTCAGCCATTTGTCCATCACTCTTCGGAGAAGGTCAGTGATATCGAGACCCAAAGTCTCAATGCTCATTAACACGATGTGCTGGGCTGGGCAATGTCTCACCAAACTCGACATCCTCGCGGGAAAACTGCAAGTTCTCGGTATGTGCGGACATGTCGCAAATAACAAGATCCTGTTGAAAAGAGCTCAAAGTAATATACAGGTATCGTGAGGAGAATGCATGTATATCGCCTTGATTTTTTCGCAGTGTCGACAATCACAGTTGGATATGTATCTCGTACTTTGTCTCCAGGGGCCACGGAGTTGAATTCCGAGCCTAGAAAACTTCAAGTGAAAATGGTATTAGAAGGGGTTTCTGGAACTCAAACTCGATGAGGATATGTATAACAATAAACAACGAGTGGTGACGGACCCTGACAGAATGGACTTTCTCCTCTGCTAGTCCCATTATGCATGGCATTTGTATATCATCTCCTCTCCTCTCGATTCGGACACACGGATCAGGAATCCCCTATTGAAAATGACGTCAGTGTTTACATGTCGCAGATTCTGTCTGTCACGATAATGTCATACGCCGGTCATGCTGGTGACGCGAAGATGATGGCGTGGATAGCCGGTCTCAGGGTTGTCGGAAATGCTTCCCGTGTCCATCATCCTTCGTATATGTGGAGATTTCATTACAAGATGAATATTGCCCCCTAGTAAGGAAGAGTGGATGCCAAAGGATAGTCCCTTCCAAACTTGCCTGATCCTAATTAGACAAATATATCATGTCGCCGTCTGCTCTCGTCATCTTACAGCCTTGTAAGAAGCCACCCTGGTGCTGCCTCGACTTTGGACTCTCTTGAATGGAATGAGATCCCTCTGTCGCTTCAAAAGATGGGACTCGAGTTCCAAGACTCTGTAAATCCGCCGCCATTCCATCAATATTCATAGGAGCCCATAATCCATATTATTTTCGACTTTGTCGATCCAATTCGCTGACTACCCAGACAATTGTGCCGTCAAGCCCAGTCTCTTGTTCGAACCGCCAGCCCGAGATCCTCCTCAAAGTCTTCCTCGTTTGCAAAGTCATGTTCACCATGGAGATTCCTAGGATTTCTGCCAAGGTTCCTGTATTGCGTCCTGCTGCCCCCCTTGTCGTCGAATTCGTCAGGTGACGACAGATCGGGACCAAAGTCCTCGTCCTTGTCGAGTGAGGCGAAAGAGGCCAGGCTTTCTTGACTGTGTGAATGGCCTCTCCACTGACCGACCGAAGAAGATTCCAGCATTTCTGTGGCAGTCTGATCCTGCTGGGATTTGGCTTTACTGACGATGGGTGTTGTATAGATGTCAAAGGCGATTGCCAGGCTCCAGGAGACGGTGGTGAGCGCATAGAGCCACTCCGCAGGAGCTCCCAGTGCCATGATACGGTAACAAGTAGTCCCTGGGGTTTGAATTGTTTCAGGTTTTGATTCGCTGCAGCCAAAGATGGCAACATTTGTCATCACGGCGAGCGCTGTTCCATGTATCAGACAGAGCTTGATGGAGGCGACGGATAATCAAGAACTTACGAAAGGCAAGACCCAACGTTACAACTCTCCACCACAGCAAGACCTTGATCACAGCAAGCTCTCGAAGCACCGGATACTTTTGGCGTTCCAAGTGGTCAACCAGCAGCCCGGTAGATTTGATGGAGAAGACGGTGATCGCTTTCACCGAAGTAACAAAGAGGTGAAGGTGCTTGTCAGGCGTCGCTGCAGCAAAGACAAGCCAGATGCTGAGACCGGCTCCCACAACGCTGGCGAGCCATCCCGCTCGACGCGTCTGCCAGCCCAATTGGTCGTCGCGGGTGAAATAGAAGCTGATGGCAGTCGATGTAATGCCGAGAAACACCACACAAAAGGTCAGCCCCCGATAGACGGATAGCCTCTTTGAGCCAACACAGCTCATGAACGGAAATGTAGAGTAAAGATCGGCAACCCGGGGTGGCTTGGCTCCGGTATGCGGATCAGCAGGTAAGGTGTAGTATGTGCCAAAGAGAAATAGCACCAGGATCAGCTCCAGTAGGCCTGCGGTGATGGGCAAAAGGGCACGGAGTGGATATCTGTGATCCCAAAGGTAGTCGAGAAGGGGGTTCCAAGGTCTCGATTTCCGCTCAAACCTTCGCTCGACATCGTGCCAGTTGGTCTTTCGACGTCTGAAGAGGCCGTCGATCTTCTGGCTGAAGGTGCCAGCGCGGACAATCTGCGGGGAGTAGTCGTCAAGAAAGGCAGAGCCTTCTCCCAAGTAGTAGCTGCTGCGGTCGTTGCGGTGTGCAGATGTAGGCCCGCGCAATAACGACATCTGCCATGGTCAAAGTGCTATTGCGCTATGCACCGTTGCGCGTCATTTCCTCGAGGACATATGAAATGGGGCAGGGAAGAAACACAGGACGGCAACATTGAAGATATAACATCTTATTAAATGGGCCATGTGGCGTCAATGGGGCCTGATCCACGCCAGAGCTGCATCAAAACGTTGAGCCGCAGAGGCTTCGCTGGTCAGGCGTCCCACTCTGGGATTTGCAACATATTTGGTAGCCTCTGGGCTGGAGGGGGCCAATAAATCGCCAGGCCGTGTCTTCCTTTTCGAGCGTCTACAGCAGCACGCACACAGCTTGGACTAGGTGGGTGATGAAAAGGTGACGAGCGAGGTAAATAGACGGCGGATTATGAGGCCCGAGCTTTCGTCGTAAGCAGACAATGCCGCGGTGCTCATACTGCTAAACAAGACTTCAGCCTCATTCGTTCGCTTACAACTCATTTACTCCTGCGGAACTCCGTGCGGTGGTGGTGTTCAGCACTAGCCAGCGCAAAAAGTTAGTTATTTAATAAGGCAGGCCTCTAGCCTCTAGCGCGCCAGGTCTCACCGTTGACAGGCCGGCACCATGTCAATTGGTGCTCGATTCTGAGAAGGGAACCCATGGAGTTCAGGTACGTGGGCCAAGTTCCTTTTTCGATTGCAGTTTTTCAGATGGTTTCAATCATGACTCGTATACCGAAAAAGAGCCATGGGTTCGTTGGGGCAGGATCGCGGAGATTTGCCGACCACTCCAGCAGGGCGTCGAGGGGTCCAGAAAACACCGCCACATCATCTCAAGAGTCGTCTGCCCGAAGCACCATCACCAACTCTCCAAGCCACAGGTCCCTGCACCCCAAGTAGACCATGGCTTGTCCCTTCGAATCCGACTCCTCCGCCTTCACCATCGGCTTTGTATCTCCGCAAAGCCTCTCGAAGGTGATCCGGCAGGAGACCTCCCTTGTGTGGATTTGGGATATACTCCTTGACTTCTCTCCTCAGTCCCTCAATGGTTCTCGTCAATAAGCGGGCTTGTTGCTCGGAATGGTTGCCTTGCTTCTGCTTCTCCTCGAGGGCTTCCAGCTCTTTCTGCCGTCGTTCCCGTTCCTCTTTTCTCGTCTCCTCGTACGCTTTGGCCCATTCGATCTGTACCTCGCGTGCTCTCTCCACAATCTCGCCCACGAACCATTTGCCGTAGATTCTTACCGCCTGCAGTGGAGCAGATGTGACCGACTGCGACACCACAGAATTGACTAGTCTCCTAACTGTCGCGACGTTGAGTGAGAGCGCCCGCCATTGATTGTATCGTGCATATTGGTCCGGGTCAAGCGTGTCGGCTAGCCGTTCACGACGCTGCTCCTGTCGTGTTTCCTCTTCTTCTGCTTGACGTCTTTCTTGCTCGTCCATGGTTTCAAACATGCCGTCAATATCACCTTCGTCATCCTCTTCCTGCTCAGCTGCGCCTGAACGAGCGCTGACGACTGACTTTGTTCCGCGACCAGCATTTCTTGAGGCACTTTCGACTTGACTGGCCGTATCCGCAGGAGCCTGACGCACAGAGCGAGTATCTTCGTCGTTGAGTTGTTGTGACTTCCGAGGTCTTCCTCTCCCGCGGCCAGGGACTTTGCCACTCACTCCTGACAAGGCACTATTGGCAACGCTACCTGATTCGGAGCGCGCACTCGTGACCCCGGAGCCATATCTTCCACTCGCATTTTGGGCAGGAAATGAAGTCTGTCTGAGAGGATGTAGTTTCGGCCTCTTGGATGCTCCTTGTGCCGATGCCTGTGAGCTCATCGAGGTTCGCTTTTTGGGGTTCGGAAGACTGGCGGGAAATGGAGAGGGAGGTGAGCTGGCCATGGTTCGTAGTCGGTTTCACCTAGGAGGAAGGTCAAGAGAGCGTTGACATTTGAGATGCCAGGAGCGAGTAGCGGGGCTAGGGAGGTTGAGGAGCCAACGACAAGGCAGTCTACGAGAAATCCCAGGCTGAAGACCCTTAGATTATATTTCGTAGTTGATAATGGATTCTTGAGGAAGACACGACAACCACATGCAACGATGAAGACTAGTACATTTCGGCTCGGCTGACATTCCTTTCATGGACTGCGCGACTTGCCTCCATTTCCCCGAAAGTTGATAGCGCCGTCTGGCAGTCCATGTCCATCCCAAGTCACTTTTTTCGCTGCAACAATGTCGACGAGATCACCTTGAGATGTGGTGAGTTAGTTTTATGACCGTCAGTGAATTCCACTGCCGTCTAGGAGGAGAGTAACCTGATCGAGCAATGCTGCATCGCTCGACGGATCAAATCTCACAAGGCTGCAGTTGCCCTTTCTCCTTTTACCCCATTGCGCGACTTGATCATGAGAAGCTAAATGACAGAGACACCACGAATCCCGGAGTGTTCGTCTACTCTGGTAACATATTGCATCAAGTAAATGGCGCGCCTATAGTCACTGATGGCGCATCTGCGCATTTATTCTTGATGGTCGGTAACGGGGTCAGGGCATCCGTACGTCCAGAGGAAATATATGAATGGCTTCACCACTTCCTCGCGTTCGATGGTAACACCGACGAGAACATTAGCAGACGTCAAGCCATTCTCGCTCAGACCTTTTTGACACAATGGTTACCGGATTTGGTGGAAATTGGCCCGTCTACTTGATCCAGTGCTCTTGTGTACTGTCTACACGGCTGAAAGCATTTACGGGCGGCTCGGTCCTTGAATTCCACGACCAATGCAGTCGTGAATAAATGCGACAGCCTTGACAGACACAAACGTGTAACAATCTAGTGCGCCATATGTTGCACCCAGTAGCCACCAACCAAGCAATTCGGGCCGATCCAACCGAAGCTGGCGTTGGCCGAAAGTGTATTGATTTCATGGCCCCCTTCAGAAACCGGCCTGACCGGATAGTCTGGCTCTCAACTTCAGACCATAGATCAGGACTTTATCGTCAAGAGGTTGTTGTACGACGGCGCCTCGCTCAGTATCCGCTTCTAGGCTCGATACTTGATCTCGTGGATAGAGCGATCTCACGACCTGAGCAACGAGGAGGGTGTTGGACATGAATCTTTTTCCCATTCAGGGAGGGCTGCCTTACCACGACAAGTTTTCCAACCACGATATAGTCAGCATCCATGGCTGGAGGATTGCCGCAGTGCTTGATGGAGACATACAGCCACTCTTGCTCTTGCTAACAACCGACCGAAACAGCCAGTCCACCATCAGGAAATCGACTGCCAGGTTGCCATGGGGGCAGAGCAGGCGCAGCCTCGGGGACAGCCTCGGGAAAAATCACATGCGATAAGGAGGCGTGAGCTGCGGCCGAGCCCAACGTACCTGTCGCTACTCGCTTAGCAACATAGCAGAATATCACGGCGGGGTAATCCAGCCTTACTTCGCTTCCTCCTTTTCTGTTATATCGCGCACACGGAAACGTCGTATTCTATATTGGATCCAGAAAACTCTCCTCGAAAGTGATATCTTATGGCCGTTACACCACCTGGACAGAATGCCAGTTCCATTTGGTTTCTCGGTCGGCGACTTCGTGGCTGTGATACGTACGTTCTGGCCATCATCAACCAGAAAGCAGGGTCGTGGTCCAGCTGATGGTTCCTCTAGAGCTCACAGGCAAAATAATCTCGTCACTAAAAGGGGTTGGGGGCTCTGCTTCGGAGTACCAACATGCTGTTGTTGAACTGGAAAGCCTCAAAAGATTGCTCGAGAAAGTGACAAAACTGACCATTACCGAAGACAATGCGGTACAAGTCAATGCCCTCCGCGGCCTGGCCTTGGCTTGCGAGCCTTGTCTCCAAGAGTTCTACCAAAAGCTCAGGTCTTACGAAGCATCAATTGGGCCATACGCGCCGAGAGGCCGCCTCAAGGGTGCCTTCCACAAGGTCAAGTGGGCTTTTCTGGGATCGGAAGAATTCAGCCAATTCCGCAAGTTCATTGCAATGAAAGTACTCTGCTTGAGCCTCTTGCTTTCCATGCACATATTGTGAGCAGATCTACGACGCCTTAGCGGAGTATATTGCTGACAGGGCTGAAAGTGAATCTGCTTCGACCAGAAACTCACAGGAGCACATTGCGCACTTTAGCCTCCTCGACGAGATTACAAAACTTAGAGAAAGCATGGAAAGACTGGAGCTCGCGAATCAGCAACGGAGTTCTCATCTCGACCACGAGGCCAGCCTACGACCCATACAAGATAAGGTCGAGGACATTGCTGCACGATTGGAGAGCCACCTGACTCCTGTCTCAAGTGCACTGACTTCGGTCGGGAGAGCAGTCTTCGGTTTCCATAACGTCCTTGGACAGATTATAGATTTCCTCGGCTCCTTCCGGCGGGAGACAAAAGTGGCGCTTCAGAGGATCATTCAAACTAATATGCAGATATATGCGTTGCTTCTAACGAGTCAGAATAGTCCTGGACACAGTCCGTCGATGCTTTCTGACGCTATTCTCTTTGAAGACGCCCTCGGTAGGACAGTTTCACTTCCCTATCAATGGTTCCGTCACTGGGAGGTGAGTCCCCACGTGCACGTGTGCAAGTGCTATCCTGTCGACATCGCTGACATTATGTTAGGCTTTCGAAGGCCTCCTCCGCGCCGAATTCAAGGGCATCCCTGGTGAGGCCAAAGTGTTGGAAGGGCAATACCATTTGATTGACACCAAAGGGGGTGGGGCCATCATCAAAAAGCAAGACTGGCATAGAACAGTGTTTCCAGGGTCTTCAGTGACTATGTCGGTGATCATCTCCCAGATTCGCTGGCAGGGCGGGTTGTGCCCACGCCCAAGTTGCGCAGAGCCACGTATCGACTTGGACCACCCACGGGCATTGGTTACGTGGTAAGCAGCTTTCTCCCAACCCGTTGAAGCACAGCTCACTCTCAGAAGTAAAAGTTGCGGCTTGAAGTATTATCCGTCAAGAGAGAGACTCGAAGGCAGCACAAAGCGAGTTACTGTCCTGACAGAAGATGACGAAGTGATATGGTCACAGAGCACCCAAGATCTCGAGATCTTTGGGGCCAGACCACTTCCTAGAGATCCAGAGGAATCGACGGCGATCCTGGCGCTATTGCAATCCACCGATACACCGGCTGTGGACGAAGAAATCTCGTCAGTACACAACGCAACACAGGCGAACTCTTACGGTGAAAAGGAGCCAACTTCATACGAGCCAACAGGCGGACCCGACTTTCAGAAACCCAAGGTGGGAAAGACCAGAACTTCAGACAAGTTACATTCCGAGTTCGAAACGCCGTTGGACAACTGGCTCGCCCAGACTGAGTCTGTGCACCTCGAACCCAACATGTTATCAAACACCCCGGTAGTAGATACGACGAGACAGGATGAGGAGGCATCCGAGATTGAGCATTTCCGACAAGTTCATATCAAGCAATGGACGAATGACGCTGATCGCAACAACGACAAAAAGACAGGCGCCGATGACCTTGAATGGGGAGCGGAAATCGATGAGGCAATCTACCACCGCAACATCTGCGATAGATTCCCTTTGATCCCATCGTACCTAGCTCATCGCCTAGCACGGTTTAATGTGAAAAGAGCGAAAAAGCTCCCACGCGCTTTTCATGTGCCGACGTCCTCAGCTCATGGCATGGACAGCGAGAGCGTTGAGTGTCATTCCGTCGGCGATAGCCTTCATTGCCAACCGGCTCTCCGGTTCCATAGCGATGACGGGCAGAACCAAGGTGATCGACGTGGGAGCTATGCTCGCGACTATACAGACCAGCCATACTCTTCAGACATTGATCAGGACCCAGCTCCCGCTGACGCTTCAGAAAATATAAATCAACCAAGTCGGAGCCATGTCAGGCACCCAGTTTCTGTGCTGACTCGGGCGTCGACTCAGGAAGTGTCCTTCTGGTCAGGGAAACCTGAGCCAAGTCGTCCAGCATCTACATTATCTCAATCATCCCACTCAAACAACTCGCTTCAATTACCAGATACCCCACCGGCCGGAACTCGTGAGGTTTGGACAATCAAAACGCAATCTTCACTCTCAGCTAGCTCAAAAGACGCCGGATTCGTGGTCCCGCCTCCTCCCGTTGAGCTGGGGAAGCAACGCACTTTTCTTTGCGACATCTGTAATGAGGAGGTGTTGATTCTGAGAAAGCGTGATTGGCAGTAAGTTTTCAACTTTCGAACTGTGGGAAATGGCCCTGATTGTCTATAGGACACATGTACTACGTGATCTTGAGCCCTATTGTTGTATTTTCGAAAATTGCCCAACTCCCTCCAAGACGTACATCTCCAGAAAGCATATACTGTCCCATATTTTCAGATCTCATCCGGAATCATATTCATACCGTTGCAACCATTGTCCAACACCAAAGAGGAGATTGAGAAAGTCCGAGTTGCGCTCACATATCAAGCAGATTCATCCCAATACCCTTGGCATTCCCGGAGGTTATTTCCAGAAGGAAATCCGAGACATGAACTGCCTCTTTTGCGACGAAGCCCTGCAATCGACAGACAAACTCATAACTCACATCAGCCAACATCTGGAACGCATAGCTTTTGCGGTCCTTGCCAGACCTTATCAGAAATGGCACTTTTACGAGGACTTTGCTTCTGAACAGTCGGCCGCACCTCCCAACACGTGGCTGAATGCTGAAGTCGCACGTCTCATTCAAAATAATTCTGTGGCTGGCGTGAAGCAATTCCTTGACGACGGGATCCTCACAAAGACACATTGTGGAAACAGCGCCCTGTGGATAGCTGCTCAGACCGGCAACGAGGCTATCGTATGGCTCTTATTACAACACGGATTCGACGTGCATAAAAGGGATCTGCCCGCACGATGCAAGAACGCACTCCATTATGCTACCGAAGCCGGACATACGTCAGTTGTTGAGATGCTGTTGATAGCTGGGTCGGATCAATCTACCTGTCTCGACGACGGGACAACGGCTCTAATCCTTGCGGCCGAGAATGGGCACGCCTCAGTACTCCGCATCTTATGGAATGGACACCCAAACCAGCACGAGAATGAAGACTTGAAATCTGCTTGGGTCCTTGCAGCAGCGAATGGGCATCTGGAGTGCTTGGAGGTAATGGTGTCTATTTTTGAAGAGATTTCAACAAGCCATGGGCGCTTTCTCCTTTCTCCAGTAAGTAGGGTTACGATCCCTTCGTTATTTGTCCGCGGGATTGAGGCAGCCATGGAGAAGAACATGGAGTCGTCAATTCAGGCGGCGCTCAACTACAACCCGAACACTCCGCTCATAACAAAACGGCTGGAGACTCTGATCTCCTTAAGAATGGTTCGCTGGGTCTGGTCGTGTCTAGGAAACAGCTCTTTATGCCACCTCTTGCTGTCAATTCCTTGGCTTAAGCGAGACTGGCTTCCTACAAACGTGGCCTTCCCTAACGGGCTCACCGACGAAACTGTCAGAGATATCAGTGACGTTCTCCTTGCAAACTTGACCAGGTATAAGACCCAGTACACCATGGAATCGGCCACGGTTCTCGGCAGCCACCTGCAGGCGTTTCTGAAGCAACATCTCGAGTTCATCCAGCTGGTATACTTGGATCTTGCCCGAAAAGGAGACCGAGAGTCCATGGTCGCGTTGCTGCGAAAGAAGCTACCTCCCCATCCAAAGACTCTGCTCGCCCTGATGTCCAACCGCTCTGTTGATACGTCAGTCGCCTTCTTCCTTAAGAAATTCCCGTCGCACTTCGCCGAGGATGACAAGACGAAGGCGCTCATTTTCGCCGTCGAGCGATGGAGAAATACCATTGTATTGGTTGAAAACGGAGCTCTCCCGAGCGCACCCTCCCCCGCAGCCGATCAGCTATTGTTGGCGTGCGTGGAAAGAAGGAACACTGCCGTCCTTCAAGAATTAATCAATCGGTCGATTCCGTTGTTCTCTGCCACGACAGTGGATACTGCAAAAACCCTTGCGGCAGACTGCCCTGGGTTGCTACCTCGGTTGTCAGGACTCGACTCGTTGGTCTATGCGAAGAATTAGGAATCGATGCCAGCACAGTCCGAGCCTTTGGATTCCTGAGGAGAAATCGGCATCCGATTCCCAGGTGTCTACAGCATCCCGGGAGAGTCGGAGTCGACGTCAGATGCGAAGGGAAATCAAAGGCCAGGTTGGCGCTGGACCTTGCAATTTTGCTACCCAACTACTATATATACCCGAGACTCGTTACCGCCAGCGACCAGAAGCACAATCAATTGAGATGACAAAACCTCATTGAGCCCGTTCCGCCCGATGCGCTGAACACACAAGTGCTGCTGGGCCTAGGTGGAACGACTAGCACAGAAAACGCACGCTTGGTAGGGGTTAATATGTAGCCGCTTTTCCAAGTCTTCAGGCCAATAGGCGTAAATAGGTCCGAAGCTGCACAAGGCCAATTCGAGCAACGTGGTTGTTGAAACCAATATAACTTCCAATCAAATCTCTGGCACCCCAAGTGGTAGCAGGGAATTGTTTGAAATTTCTTGTGTTTCACATGCCATTTTCACCCCGGTCTAAGCTGTCACCAGTGTGGCGGCTTTTGCCTTCAAATCCGAGGGGGAAAGGAACCCAGAAGCAAGAAATTGCACTTCTAATAGTATTGGTGGTTCTTCTTTTACGAACCTGTATACTTCTTTGCCTAGGAAAATGACCACCAATATCACTCACTATAGGCATAGACTGTGTCACTTATATCACACATCTACGAGAAAAGGACCGAAATTCGATTGAGGTTTCAACAGAAATCCTCCCAAAATGCAGCCCTTTCAGCCTTTCAGCCTTTCAGCCTGGCAACTGGCAAGATTAAGCTCACATGATCTTGTCGCGGGTGGTGGGTGGGGGGTTGGAGGATAGACCCAGGTATGAGACAGGATGGTGTATCGAGGAATGATATGGGGATCATCACCATCCAGATCATCGGTGAGGCAGAAGGTGTCTTGCGGGTCAAGCGGAGGCGCATGGCTTTGCTGTTGGGCCCGTTCATCTGATCATGGGCTAAACTGGAGCGCGCAAAAGTATTGACGGGCTGTGAACGTGGCCATATCCTGTTATGAGAAGAATACGCAGCAATTTTAGATATTCTAATACGCGAGATCAATCGGTGCGCCACAACAATGGGAATGCTATTTGATTAGGCTGATAGCGACGTAGGTTGCTGTCCAGGATGTGACTGGCAGGAATGCCAAGGACGTGTAATGACCGTCACGCTAGTCCTCGGCCGAAGGCCTTCGGACTAGCGCCGGTAGGGCCCTGTAAATTACTCGAAGGTATATAGTCAGACGGTCCCCAGGA